TACTAAGATTGTTCATACGAAACTGTAGCAATGCTTGCGTTAGAGCGTTGGACACTTGCAAGGCCATCGAAGCATCTTCTTCACTGCTAACAAGCTTTCCCTAAACAACAAACACACAAATCAATGAGTACTTATCTCTTAGAGAGAACCACGTTGATTGTAATCCTTACATTATATAGATTTTCGGCACCATAAGTAAGGTCCCTTCATCATCTGATCCGGGTATGCTATCTAGGCATTTACGTCAAGTTTTCTAGATACGACACATTCTTGGCTTTCAGAAGTCAGTGTTATTTAGTAAATCGCTTCAGGCATTCTGTCCATCGCAGACTCTCAGCAGAACTGAGAGCTGCTAAAACTCGGCCTTTTAGGTCATCATTCTTCTTTAGCCAAATATGCACTTCTTGCAATAAAATAGCATGAATAAGCTACTGATTAACATTCCCCTTTTCCTAACTGGATAACACACGTAATACCAAATCCGCAATCAGCACTGCTTTTGTTACAAATAGTTACGGTGAGTCCTGGAACTCATCTTGTGAAAATCACGCGTCCCAGTCCAGAAACATTGAGTCCCCGTTTAAAAAAGCAATGAGTTACTGGGTCTTTTGTAACCGCAAAGTTAATCTGAAGACAGATTCCAAACTCTGTATTACAGTATACCGAAATAAAAATATACTCCTTCCATTGTAAAGCACAACAAAGACTAAAAGAAATAAGCGTCGTTTAACAACAGCCACAAGAACAGCCACGAGAAATCACCTAAACATGATATTCTACAAAAACGTCTTCGGATCAATCAATCGATCTTCCCGTCATACGGGACGCATGCAACAATTTAGTTTCGAGCATCATCGCATTTCGAGCATCTATCACTTGAAACTAACGCCAAGGGCAGCGTTGGAGCTAAAGGGTTTTTACCTTCGAGCAATGTCACTTGCACCTCGGTAACCTCGGCTATTACTAGTATTAACATTATTAAGCTAATCAAATGGTATACTGGTGAAATTAGGAAATACAGTCCGTCAGTGTCTCACCTGCGTTTTGTCAAAATTCTAACAATTTCCCTCGCGGAAAGGCACGAGAAGGGAAATTGTTAGAATTTTGATGAAACTCTATGGAAACTATTTCCTATTTTCACTCATCACGTATTTGGTACTTCACGCACAGAAAGCTATTTTAATACTTAACTCACCAAATCTGCTATTGCTCCCTGCAGAAGGCTGACGTTACTTTTTCCGGAAACTCCACCACTATCACTGCCTACACTGCTGCCAACATTGGCACTTGGTGTGTGAGCAGGTGGCTGAAAACGTTGTTGATTAGCGCTCTGAGTGGAATATGTGCTCTGGTCGGCGTATGGCTCAATATACTAAAAAGAATGAGCAGTAGTAGTAATACATTTTGCAACGCATAGGGGATATCAGCTATGGAAAAGTGGGTACACCAGCTGTACATGCACAGGTCATCAAGACAATGAATTGAGAGGCCTCATTCAGGAAAAACAAACGTTTTTTGGGGTTGCCTTCACACCAAATTGAAAAATAATAATAACAATAATTCCGTTATTTACCAACGGCAGTATTTATAGCACTAATGCTAGCGAGGCCGAGCAAAGCATCTTGTCAAAGTCTCCTTAAAGCTCCTGAACAAATATCAAGCGCAATTTTCTCTATGAGCCAAGACTTCTAGAACTCATAAAGGGCACCGAATTAAAGGTGTTATTTACTGTACCTCATAGTTAGAGCCACCGTAGGAAGTGTTCTGGTTGCCATAGTAATCATCATAGTGTTCATCATAGTTGATAAACTGCTGACCTTGTGACTGGGACTGAGATCTGGATCCAAATGCCTCTGGTGGCAACATTCGCTCCCTGTACGATACAAGGCAATGTCAAAACAATGGTTAAGCAATGAGTGAAGAAAAATTGTCACATGCGTTAACCAATACACACTCAAACATCCAGACTGATGTCCATACATTACCTTAAAGAATAAGTAGAGAGAATTATTTTGATAAAAGATTTTAGTAAAATCCAACTGGTGGTCTATTATCAATGCTGCGTTCTGATTGGTTGAGGTACTACTAGGCTATATGTTATAGCCCACTAGTAGCGAAAAGTGCGGGCTTTTTGGCGGCAAAAAAGGATTAAAGTCTAGCTTTAACTAGCTAAACGTTTTTTATTCTCAATATTTTTTACCAACTAGTTAGATTTTACTAAAACAATTATTCCTCTCACCCTCATAGCCTCTGAGTCAATAGCCCATTTGGACTTCGGCATCATGGGCTATTGACTCAGAGCCCATTCGGGCTCGAGGAATAAGTGTTAAAAAGCCTTTTCCAGTATAATGACCTAAAAGGCGCTTACCCTCCTCCCTGTGCACTATTATCCCACTGGTAACCATCATTATCACTACCATAAGAACTATCAACAAACGTCTGATTTGGTGCATTGTTGTAAGAAGAGAAGTTCTGATTCCATGACTGATGCTGGTTATTGCCTCCTCTTCCTCTAGCTCTGCCTCTGCCTCTGTAAGATCCTGATTGCTGCTGGTTATAATTATATGGGGTTCCATGCTGGTTTCCTCTACCACGCCCCCCTTGCATTCCACCACGTGTGTTATTCTGTCCTCCTCCATACATCTGTCCTCTGCCACGTGTACCCATCTGATTGCCACGCCCACCACCCTGTCCTCTTCCTCTTTGACTCTGCCACTGTTGCCCTCCTGGAAGATTAAAATTTGATTGGTGTCACAAGAGGCTGTTCAACCTTGAATACCCTACTCTACCTTCCACAGACAAACTTGCAACGAAGCATTTTCTGATGGCAGCCAGCCAGCGGAATTCACTCACAAAAATAACCTTGAGTGTCTTCAGCCTTTGCAACCTCTTTTGAAATCATGGTAGGCAACACTAAGCACAAATGCCCTGATCATTCACTGCAGTAAACGAAGAGTAGAGTAAGTCCACTGAAACTGGGGCCACCATTGTCAACAGATAGCAAAGAAATAGCTGCTTGATAACAAAATAACAGCTTGTGACAAACATGTCTCATAGGCAAAATATTTTTTTTAGTTTCAGACAGAAAAACGTTGTCTAATGGTAAATTTTCTTTGAAACATTTGCCATCAATATTTAAATCTTGTGCTTTGAGTAATTTGCTGTTTACTTATGATTTGCTAATTGGCTAAAAAACTACTGTTAGTACTTAATATTTTCCTGTAATCCAGTTAGTCAACTTTGTCTTAGTGGCCCCGGTGACAGTAGCTGCACTGTAACACTGATGCTACAATGGAGGACAAAATTCTCAGGACAATTAACACGATCTGCCTCAATTTTCCCCCCTTTCCCCCTCTCCCTCAAGCAATGTTGTAGTTTGTGCACCCCTGTACACTTTACCCTGTCCTAAAAGTGTTTCTTCATCCCAACATTGTTTGGAGGGGGGAGGGGAGGGCCAGTCGCGGTATCCAAGTGGTTAGATTTAAGGGTATATTATGCTACATCTGAACATTTGATAAGTTAAGGATGTGGAAGGAAGGTTTTCCATAACCGTTCCAAGGATTTTTGTCCTCCATTGCAGGCACCACTGAGAGTCAACTTACCTCCTCTAGATGACTGCTGCCCCTTGAAGTTCCCACTGAATCCACCCAAATCACCTGCAGCTTGGTTGTTGATACGGTTAAACGGGCTCTTTTCTGTTCTGGTTTTCACCTGCTGTCGTCCTTCCATCATCTCAAGTTTACTTGCTTCCTCGAGGAGCTTACTGGACAATTCTGACCTCTTTTTGACATCGCCACGGACACTCTGAGCAACATCTGGTACCTTTTCTTTCTGTGAGTGAGACAGAAGAATTGTTTAATTTTTATCATTTACTCCACAAAGGTTAAAAACATTTAAAAGTGAATGAAATTCGAGAATTCCCTCAAGAAGGTACAACATATGGTAACTGTTTGGGAGCAATGTTGAATGAACGAAATTAAAATTATGAATTAATCATATAACTGGGATAAAATATGATAATTAATAACGTTATGAGAAAGGTTTTGAGTTGGCAGGGTTTTCACTAAAATTTTAAGTTGCTGAGTATATGCAATTAGCAAGCAGGGAAATGAACAGTAAGGAAGTTCTTTTGGTTGTATTTTCCTTTTGTTTCCTGTGATAAAAGCCAGGAAACAATTCATGAAAACAAGGTTACAGAGAACAAGAGAGTGCAACAAACCAGTGGTAAATGATTTGCATTTCTACGATAATAATAATAATATCTCGTACCTCATATCAAGAGGTAGTGCCTGCATGATTTTTTTCATTTACAATGAAACCTGTATTAAGCGGACACCGTATTAAGTGGACACCCTCTATTAAGCGGACAGTAGCCGAAGTCCCAAAATTTATTTCCCTTATTTACTTTAAATGAAACCTTTATTAAGCAGACACCTCTATTAAGCGGACGCGGACACCTAAAAAGTACCTGAAATAGTCATTTCTATTGTTACCAACCTGTATTAAACGGACACTTGCAATCACATTCCACTACCCAACATGCCAGACACCGGAAATGCGAAATATTACCTCGAATTGCCACCCACAACTTTTTCGATTTTTACATTAAAAAAACGTGACTTGACGAACTTATTTGATTAATTTCACAGTACAGGATTGTTTTCTATTTTGTTTTGTTTGTGTAGAGCTCGTTTCACTCATCTGCTTTCTTCAAATTTGAGTTGCAATCTATGTTTATGGTACTATGACTAACTGGTCCACTTTGATAAAGAAATTAATGCAAACGTATATCGTCAAAGTCTCTAGGAGTATTCCTAACATTTCCAGTGTTCATTTGGATGGCATTTGACATCTCAAATGACGTTATCTATCGAAACCTGTATTAGGCGGACACCCTGTATTAAGCGGACACTACAGCATTCCCCAAGGGTGTCCGCTTAATACAGGTTTCACCGTACTTTCTTGTTCTCTTGATTTGCTTTCCCACTGAATACTGATCAAGCTCCTCCAGAGTAGGTTTACTTGCAGTTATTTTGCATGTAAAAGCTAGATTAGTCGAGAACCCAAGGAAAACTCTTAAAGGGGCTAATAAGTCATGATGACATTGCTGAAAAGTTTCAGGTTACACTGTAACTGCCATAGACTTCTGCCTTTACCCATATACAAAATGCTGCTGTAGATTTATGACAATGTCAAACAAATTTCTTCAGGGAACACTTAAAATAATAATGTTTCAGTGATTTTTGCTGGCCCAACATTAAAACAAAATATTGGCCCACTGTTTGCAAATTTCAATCCATGTCCATCCTTGTCACCAGTAGCAAAGGATGAAAGTAAACTGTTTAAATGCATCAAACATAACAAGACCATTGGATTTCAATACATGTTAAAACCATTAAGCTATTTATAAAGATAGCATGGCTTATCCCCTTTGAGTAGAGAGAGAGGGTCTTGACAAACTGCGAGCCAGCGAGCCAGCGAGTCATGCGAGTCGAGCCAGTGAGTCATGCGAGTCATCATGTGAGCCATGCGAGACAGAAGTAACCGGTCAAGTCGCCCGAAAGTCATCTCGCCCGAAGTCATGAGTCCTAAGTCATGTCGCCCGCAATTTTATCGAGTGTATAAACTTGAAGAAAAGAAACATCTTAAGTAAATCGCAAGGAATAAACTCGTAAAATGTTGACTCGCTAACAAAAATACCCCTCAATGACGTCATAGCTTTTTCAATAACTGTGAATTTTGAGAAGGAACGTTAAACTTGTTAGTAAGTCAGATTTTTTATCGCGATATTCTTAAGCCATTGGCATTGGTTTTATTATGAAAGACGCAAGACGTTTGCGTTTTAAAGAGTGTTTTTTATGTTCTGGTCACGTGGCTTACCACATATGGTGTGACTCATTAAACGTGACCGAGGAAGAACCTTTAAACCTTTGTTTAACGCATTCTCAAACCTTTGTTATTGTTTCACCTTGTTCAATTTGTATGTTGGCGAATTTTTCTGAAGCTGAATTTTAAAGGACCTGCCTTTGGAATAGATACGTTACTTAGTAGTTTACGTTAAAAACAAAGTTATTTTATGCTGACTCGCATGGCTCGCATGTTGACTCGCATGACTCGCTGACTCGCATATTATACACACTCAGAGAGAGAGCCGGACCAAGATTTAAACCTGGGCCATGATGGCAATAGGTAAGTACTTTCAACACCAGGCTTGTAACTACAGAATGTCTGGCCCTAGTTGTTCAAATGGTGGATAACGCTATTCACTGGATAAATCTCTATCCAGTGGAGAGCGCAATTGGTTTCCCCAATATTTATCAACTGGATAGTGATTTATCCGGTGGATAGCGCTATCCCACATTTTAACAACCCGGACCTAATGTTTTACACTTTTAAGTAAAATATCAGGTCCGGGTTGTTAAAATGTGGGATAGCAGTGGGCCAATATTTTGCAAACTGGGCTCACCTGTAATAGACCCTTGTCATGTGGCGGCCATTTTGTCTCAGGAGATTTAAAAGGCTTTGTTTATGCACGGCTAGCCTCATAAAGAGAATGAGGATAGCCATGCATAAGCAAAGCTTTTTGAATCTCGTGAGACAAAATAGCCACTGAGTGACACAGGTCTATTGTGTAAATGTTACAGGTCAAAATTATCTTCAGGTTAAAATTTTTAACCCAGGTTGATTCTCAATTTTCTTTGTCTCCTAGCCCTAATACATGAATAATATTAGGGCTAAAAGACAAAGGAAAGCGAGAATCAACCTATTAAATTGAGGCTGAAAAAAAAAATTAACCTAAATTTAATTTTGACCTGTCACATAAACACTCTAGTACAAAGTCGTTTTTTTATTTTATTCTACATGAGAAAACCAGAACGATGTCAAAATTGACATCTGAAAAGTTAGTGAATCATGGTAAACTTCAGAAACTGGACAAAAGATTATTTATGTCCAAGTCACAGAGATCTACTGTAAGCTTGTGGGTAACAGAGCTTGTACACGTGCACAACTCTTTCTTTCCTATTCTTCATACATTGATCTGTAAAACCAGTCCTGTCGATTCTACAGTAAACTTTTCACAGATCAACGTAAAAATTTGTAGAGATGTTGTAAGCCCAGAATGTACCCCTCAAATTCTAACATAAGTTCCATTTTTCATCATTTTGTGAAGTTGACAATTCATCACCATTTCAGATACAATTTGTTTGAAGGAACTCGACTTCAGATTCTCAGGAAATCCCATGCAAACAATCATTGAACTTCACGACCAATGTACATTGTAATGGTGCTGAATTGAACTCTGATTGTGGTAATAATATTCTCAGTCTCTAAAACAACTTGTTATCCAATATGGATAATAGTTAATATTATAACAATGGATTGTATTCCGCACATGTGAAATGCAACTTCTGAATCAAATGTCGAACATAAGTTGAATCTTTTATAGTTTCAGTCATTTTTAACTTGAAACTGTCAAATTTCATTGATTCAGAGGACGCATCTCACATGCAGGAACCGAGTCAAATTTAGAAGGATTTGTATGGAGTCATCAGAGCATAACTGGGCTAATATCTCTGAGCCAAATTGCCCCGAAATGCTAGTTTTTGGCAAGTAGGCCTCCTGGATGTTGTTCTTTTAGAATATCCTGACAAATCCCATGATTTCACAAATTTAATTTTTTATGACGTCACACTTTGGAACCCTATTGCCTTTACCTATATAATATAATGCCCCAGGAGAGATATGAAGAAGATATCAAGCAAAATTTAATTTCACCACGGAGCATTAACTATGATAATTTTTTGGGTGATTTTTGCAGAAACGGTGTTAAAACTTGAAAACATTGCCCAACTTTTTTCAAGTTTCCATCCACGTCCATCCTTGTCATCGTTGCAACAGATGACAGGAAACAGATTCAGTGCTTAAATACAGCCTCTTAGTAAAATCCAACAAGTGGTCTATTATCAATGTTGCATTCTGATTGGCTGGGCTACTACTAGGCTATATGTTATAGCCCACTAGTAGCAAAAAGCACCAGCTTTTTGGTGGCAAAAAGGGATAAAAGTTCTGCTTTAACTAGCTAAAGTTGTTTTGTCTTGATATTTTTGACCAACTAGTTGAATTTTACTATTATTATTCCTCTTGCCCTCATGGGCTATTGACTCAGAGCCCATTCAGGCTCGAGGAACAATAAATTGTTAAAGATAACAACACTACAGGGTTGTCACTGCAATTTCAAGTTGCCACGTCAATACAATACTGTAAGTATGCGGGGAATCAAACAGCTAGGGATTTCTTTTGGTTTTATTTTTCTTCAATTTTCCAATGAAAGTAACCGGGGACCACATTCATAGTAGCTGGTGGAAATCCCCGCCCCAGCTCTTCATGACAGCCTGGAAGACTACTACACCATTACTTTTGGAATTCAATATTGATGTGAAAAACGTTTGCTTTCAAAAGAGACAGCAAACAGAATCGCATAGCCCCCTTTAAGGAATTTATCACATTTTAATGGGTACAAACATCTCAGAGATCTTGTCTACTCACCAGCACATTGAAACGATGTTTGCTTCCAACAAGGTGAGGGAACTTCAAGTTGTGATCAAATTTGGAGTCACACAGCTCGCAGTGGTACCTCGGGCTCTGTCCTATAACCTGGATTTCTGTAACATACTCCAGGCCTACAGCAACAGAACAAGTGGCATAACACTCCAGATTGTGAAAAGGTGAAAATGTACCACAAAGAGTGAGCATTTACACCTAAACAACCGCAAGACATCTTGTCATGCACTTTCACATCAGCTACATGTATCAACTTACTTTAGTCAAGTTACTGTATTTGCCTGTGTATAATGTTTTCTTTCCCTTAATCTTGACCCAAATTTTAACTGCCACGTTTTACATCATTATACACAGCTTAATACAGTAATAACTATCATCAAACATTCTGGAGTGTATCAGTCTTTCACAGGATAAGTGCCTTCAGTTCTTCCTGTTACCATCTACCCCTTGGGCACATCCCTGAGCAGGGATTAAATCAAGTCTTGGCTTTGTTTGAGTGTTACTAGTACAGCCTACATGCATTGTACCTCTTGAGCTTAACAGAGCCATTCATGGTTATAACAGCCATGTAGGCTACTATAGAATCACTCTTTTTAGAAATGCATGTAGTACTGTTCTACTCTTGTACCAAGTTTAGAGTGGTAGATTAAATAATGGCGAATATGGCGCCCATATAACACACAAAAGCTAATGCAAGTTATGTTCTGGGTATCCTTAGCCCCAACCCTATGACTACCAGGTTGGGCTTGGCTTGGGGTATGGTAACAGCAAAATTGAATAAGCGACTACTGTAGTTATTGGTGCAATGAGACTTTTGTACAGTCATGTACTTTAGAAAAGCAAACATGCATGTACAAAAACCACTTTTTCAAGATGACGCTGTATCTTTATCACCAACAAACATAGTCCGCATTTCCACATACAGTGGATTACGACAGAATCCATGACGAAAATAAACAATTTTAATTTTCAGAGGACAAAAACCTTGTCCTAGAATAATTTAAACAATATCGCATTATAATTTTTTCACATTTTTCAACGGCAAAATTTGACATTTATTTTCTCGGGCTCCCACACTAAATTTTCTTTGATGTTTGACAGAATGATAACTAAACATTAGTTATCTGTCAAACATCAAAGAAAATTTATTATGGGAGCCCAAGAAAATAAATGTCAAATTTGACAAAATGACATCTTACACATGAAATTTTCAAAATTTTACCAGTGTTTTCACAATTCTTTTAAAATTTGACATTTATTTTCTCAGGCTCTCATGAGAAATAGTCTTTGGTGTTATGATAGATAACTAATTATATCTATAGCCCCTGAAAAATGTAAAAAAAATGTGATATTGTTTAAATTATCCTGGTACTAGGCTTTTGTCCACTGAAAGTTGAAATTGCTCAATTTCCTGATGGATTCCATCTTAAAGTACTTGGGTAAAAAGAGTTAGTTTCTAAAGAATAGGTTATTTCTTCTTATCAGCTTTACATAGGCACAGACCAGCCTGATGGGAATGGACAAGCAAGGTGCTGTCTCTACCCAGTCCCAAAATCCATGACAGATACAAGGGTTTCAATGAGCACCAACAGCTGACAAAATGGGTCAGCTACTTGGCTGATAGAGGTCGGCTACTTTCTTCAAGAAAGAAGAAGCAACTAGTTTAATTAGCATTGTAAACAAAAAAATATCAAAATCTGATGTTTTTTTATGAAGGCCCACTGGTTTTACATTGCTTTAGTCACGTGGAAAAGTACATAATTTAGTTTTCATCATTTGTTCATTGCTTGGTAGGAATGACAGGATTTGATTGTGAAACCTTAACATTTTCTTGAATGAAACACACACTCTTTTGTCCTCAAATTTAGTCCCCAGAACGCTGAAAATCACATTTTAGGACTTTGAAATTTTAGAATTTTCTGGGGCAGAACGCACCCAGACCCCCTCCTCACCCCCCTAAGAAAAGGGGGCTAATGGCCCCTTGTTGATACTGTCAGTTACTCTATTCAAACCTGCTGGCTACTTCAATTTTTATTGAAACCCCTGCAGATAGACACCAAGGATGGTCACTCTCTGCCAGAGAATGCTTGTACAGTAAGACAGGCATCCAGAACATGTAAAATATTGTTATGCCACATGCAATGATGACTAACAAAGACAAAGTTCAAATTTGAACTATTCACATTACATGTATATAGCATTGAACACAATGAAAATACAGTGTACTGTAGTTGAAAGCTCAATGGAAATTGCAGGGCTCGAAAAAAAAACTCAACTCCAGCGTGTCCTTTGGAGAAGCTGTTTTCATGTTTAGCTTTCCCCAGGTCATTGAATTGCATGCTTTTGCTTGTTACAGTATTTAGTAGAATATGATTTCCCCAAACCTGGGCAAGTGAGTATGCAGAATCACTTGCCAGGCAGGGAAATCTAGTAGTCAAGGACTACCACACGGCACTTTTTTTCAAGCCCTTCATTTGGTTTGAACTCAGGAGGTTATTATTTTCACAAGTAAGTGGATTATAACTCTCCAGGTGGGTGTACTCCTGAATGGGATTGTGTTGACAGTGATGGACCTTTTGACAACCTGCGTGGTAGTTATTGACTCTGATGATGACTACTGGACAGGTTGTCAAAAAAGTTAGTCACTGTCAACATCAGTCCAATTCAGGACTACCCAAGGGAAAAAGTAAATTGTCAAAGACCATTGGGCACTACTACCTAGAGCACAGCCCTAAATTGGTATGATTTACAGGGTATATGATATAAGAAAATTAAGCTGGTCTCTACTTGATGACAACTGTAATCATTAAGGCAACAAGCTACATGTAGTGCCTGTTACCATTATAATTTTACTTTTGAGCAAAGTATTGCAATACCGAGTTGCTGTAGAAATTATACATAACTCACCTATAAGGGGTTCTGGGTAGGTAGCAAAGTCTCTTGCACCAATCGGACCACTGGGACTTGGTTGTTGCACGGCATGCATAGGCTTCTCATAGGGTTTACGCATGTGTCCAGGATTATAGGATCCTCCTTTTATGGGGCCCACACCACCACCTCTCCCAGGAGCCCCTCTACCAGCACCCCGGCCAAATCCTGTATTCATATTGTTGAACAACATGCTTTTTTCTTGAGCTTTTTGCAGGGCTCTCTCTGCCCCTTGTTTCTCAAGCAGCTGAAAATGCAACAAATGATATTGTATAATGTTTAATCATTGAAAGGGTGCCCAAAAAAATAAAAAAAACAACTTAATAATTTATTAGAGAAGAATCTGTAGGATTTCATTCTAAGCAACCCTTAGTGGTCACTAAAGAAAGATAATTATGAAATAAAAAAAAAAACAAAAGCAACCAACCAAACAAAAAGAAAATAATCACTGTAAAAAAAGACTGAGATTTATGCAATCTAATAACAACAACAATGATAACAAAATATTTATTGTTGGTTCAGACTGAGTCTTTCACAAGAATGTGAAGAAATTCCTTATTCTTTGAATTGAATCAATGATGGATGGTGAAATAGCAGGCAGAGCAAGAGTAGTGACAATGATAGGTGAGTTAATAATTAAAAATGTTAGAAAATATGCAAGGCCCAATCTTTACCCTAATGGTCAACTATGGGTGTGAAATTACAACTTTACAACAAATTAGAACTTTAACTGTATTTTATGTACCTTTCTATGCTTTTGCCCAAGAAGATGAGAGTTCCAAGCAGTGTCACTGTTGCATGTCACAAGGCACACCTAGAATGCATGTATTATTATTGATAAACTCTGTTCAAATACAGAGATCATGATGGAATACTTTAAGGATTAGAAAGTGGAAAATTTATGTGGTAATAATAATCAAAAGAATTCTAATTTGAGAACATGGCATGGCTTAATAATAATAATAATAATAACAATAACAATGTTACACCTGCTAAAGCTGAAATTCCAGTTAGCATGATTGAGTGACAACAAGTAACAAAAATTAACATTGATTAATTTTTCTTAGTTACTTTTTGAACAAAGAATTCCAATAAAGCATAAACTTGTTATCTGCATAGTTATTGTTAATTTTGTATCCAAAAAAATCAAGGAAATCATTTTTTTATAAAATTGAAAAGTGTATCTACCAAAACTCTTGCATGAGGATTTACATGTACATAACTGTACATGTATGTTTCTAGCATGATACAATAAGAACAATAATTTTTATTATTGTTGTTCTAACTTTGGAGATGGTTAATTCTTGTTCTCGTACTTAACTCTGAAGTTAAAATGGTACAATACATGTCTCTACAAAAAATCTCTGAAAAGAAAGAATTGAACTTCATTGAGCCCCTCTGAAGTAGTGGTGGCTTTAAAGGTGGAATTCAAGTGGAAAAATAATGTACAAGTACACTAGAAAACAAAGCACCATGGAAAGGCAATGCTAAAGAGACTGAGTCAGTAGCCAGTAATATTGCTGCCTCCACTTGTAGGAAATTATTTGCCGTTTACCGGTACTTAACACCCAAGGTTTAGTCATATTAAAAACCCGGTCATTCTGTCTATCCTTGTAAAACAATACTTGACTTTAGACTGAATCTTTATTGATTCATTACTAAATAGAAGTTGGTTTTAAGACTCAAGAGTTGGATCTCAATTATATGTCTCCACCATCTCCTTGGAATAAAATGGTGCATTAAATTAATATTGTGCAAGCTTAGAAGATTTATTAACCTGACAGTGAAATTCAGGAGGTGGTTTCTTTTCTTCTTTTTCTTCTAATCTCTTTGGTAATTTGATGTTGAACTCTTCAATAGCTCGTTTAACATGTCGTGGACTCATACAGTGATGTTGAAACACCTAAGAGGTATAAATAATACATCAATTCTAACAAACAAGACCCAAATGTAAAACATGTTACTCGCCTTGGTTTCTGTGTGACGGACCTATTTGCCATTTTTCTTTGAGGGTCAGTTTGTTAGTGATTGCCATGATTCAGTTATCTACTGATCTTAATCAGGAAATAGTTTGATTGGTAGGGTGTAGGGCAAGGTACACTGTCAAGTACATTCTAAAACAAACAGAAAGCATTTGCTAATTAAAGTTTCAGCGTAAATCTATGTTAAGTTTTTTGGGGGACAGAACTTTAGTGCCAAACCCACATTTTGTATATTTATTTAGGCTGTAGCCATGAGTGCCTTATTATGTGATATTAGCCAGCTAGCAAGTGAGACACAATAAACAAATTATTTTCTTTTCCCAACCACAAGGCAGTACAGGTGTATATCACCTTGGTCTAGGCAATTAAGACCCAAAGAATCAAACCCCAAAGAGAGTTGCTTTTATTCATAACCATGGAGTCACCTTAATTATCATGACTAATCCATCGTTATGAATGAATAATATAATTTGTGCGAATTAGAATTGACATAAATTATTATTTTAATGGCACGGAATGGAGAACTGGGTTCTAGCGTAGAGCGAGAGGGATCGCAGTTAGGGGGTTTGATATAGTGACCGTTTAGCTATGCGTGTCATTCTACGGTCGGCCTCACTGCGTCAACTTGCTTTGTTCAGTTTAGTTTTCACTTATTCTGTTAGCCTTAATTTCGTTACCATCTCTGCTGGTCCCTATGTTTCTTAGCTATTTTATGTAGCATCTCGTTTTCTGCTCTTCTTCATGTTATTAGACTTTATTTTATTAGTTTTGCCTTATAACCCCAAAGGAGACACCATAGCATAGGTTGGGGTTACATGGTCCTTATTTTTCCAATAGTTGGTTTTTTCGGGTTTACTTGTCTGGCTGTGGCGTGTTCTTAGAATCACTGTAACAGTGGAGTTTTTTTTCATGTGAGTTAATAAAGTGTATCATGGGCCTGGCTGACCGACGCGCCCATACCTCCAAGTGTTGTTTTGTTTGTTTGGTTGTGTAGTGGAGGCAAAATAAAACAACTCTCTTATCATTCTGTCTCTTATTTACACACAAATTAAGGAGCAATTTCCCTAAATAAATACCACGTTATGGTTCTTTTCCGTTCAGCAACAATCTGTAAAATCTTTATATTTTCAGTTCTACATGATTGTTGATAACTCAATCTGTACTTAAACAAAAGAAGTGAACTTGTCTCTACACAGAAATTAACAAGCTAAAATAAAAGATCTCCAGAATGCACCAACCTCCATGGACTCCATATTGAAGTCACAAAGCTTACAATAGTAAGGTTTTGTCGAATCTTTGTTTATCCACTGTTGGCGAGGATCTACCTTTCGCACTACTTGACTATCTGGTTTAATTCCATCTCCTCCCAATTGTGAATCAGTCGGCAAAACTGGAGGAATATCGCTTGAGAAGTCCATGTACAGGTGCTGTTGATTCTCTGATTTCAAAGGGATTTCTGAAGCGTTTTGAGTTGTCTCTGTAGAGGTTGAATTCGTAGGAGCGCTGGTGGAGGCTGGTTCAAGTTCTGACATTGTGAATTGTCGTCTAAAACAGACACAATGTAACGTTTTTTTATAAACTTTTTTACATCAATACAGACTATGCAGATATCAATGTATCGACCATCTTCTGCCAGCTTCCGTGTGCACGTCGTCACCAGATGACCAAGACGTCATGTAAGACATACGTATAACGTCCTGATGGCCGTCGCTATTGCGCATAAACTAAAATTGAATACCACTGAACATTTTACAGGTCTCACAGGTTCCCACTTTCAAGAAAATTCTCGGCCATTTTTCATTTCCCGGCACGTGAAAGACTATTTCTTGATCTTTCTTGATCTGTTGATATTAAAATGTTTATTGGGAAGGCAAAAACAAAACTGACTTTCAATAACTTCTGAGTCATAACGGTTGTTAAAAGTTCCGTTTCAACCTGGGATGGGTATCCTGTGGGGGATCAATGAAATCCAATATGGCCGAAAAACAAAGACTGGAATGGCGGGCAAAACACTGTAAAGAAAGAGTGGTCTGTTGATTGATAAGAGCATAGAGACGAGTGAATTGTTACATTTATTGCTCGAGGGATCTTTTGGTTTTGTTTTGTTAATCCAAAATGGTTCTTTTCGCGATGATCACTCGGGTGTCGGACGGAATGGCGCTGTCGGCTTCCACGGATCTCGATATGCACTTTGAACTAAAAGAAAGCAAGAAGTACGCCAAGACGCTGGCTAGAAAAGCAAATCAGTACCCTACCAGATGTACCATGAAATGTGGAAATCACTCAATATAGTAAGATTTTTTAACTTTCTTAATGACTGAAGTACATGTGTGGGATAATGCGGAAATCTTGTTCGTAAAAAATTTCATGAATTTTATTTTATTGAGCTCATACTCTCTATAATAATTATTACTAGCAGTAGTATAGAGATATTTCTTGTTTGTAAACATTGTTTTTGATATTCAAATGTGCCAACCAGTGAAACAAAAGAACCCATTGTTTCATGATCAAGATCAAAGCTAATACATCTCGTTGTTAGAAAATAGGAAGTGTCTAGATGTTTTCAAAAAACTTACCGGGCAGTCAGAAATTTTGACCAATTTTCTTGAAATAGCTCGTTTAATTCCTCTAAGAACATAAGATATTTGTTTAGGCATCTGAAGCGATTGTATAAATAAAGCCTTGGGTTAAAAGTAGAAGCGACTGTCGAGCTTGGCCATAGAGTGAGATCTCAATGTTTTCGACACTTAGAAAATATTCAAGTTCTGACACACTGAGTCAACTCCCGATGAACATCCACAGAAATTATCGATGAAACCTCACCGGAGTATTTAGTTTTTGTTAAGAAATGCCAAGCGATTGTAAAGGTTTCATATTGTTGTGGACAAATTCTCCTAGCTTGCATTGATTTAAGCATAGAATCACGGGTACGATTTTCAAAACACTTGATGCCTGGCAGTCGGAAATTCATGTACAATTTGCATGAAATATGTTATTTAATTTGTGTAAAAGTATCAGGAAGTTGTTAAATTAGAAAACTCAAGCGATTTCAAACACTGCTCTGGGCTTGAAGTAGAGGCATGTTGGTGGGCTTCCGCTAGCTTGGTGTTTTCGGTCATTTTATGTAGCTTTATTTGTACCATTATCTCAAAATTTGAGACACTTAAGAGTCTTGGGCTCACATTTTTTAGAAGTAAAGTCTCATGCTCGGATTGATTAAAACTCTTAAGTCTCGGTCTCGTCCTCCCTCTCTAATTGTGAAACCTGCAGGGTCTCGCATTTTCTCAAAGTCTCAAATTTACCATTCTTTACCCCTTGCTTTGGACCTGCCACTGGCTAAACTGCAGAATGCAGGGTCAATGCAAATGTGCGGGCTCATTTGGCTTGTTTGCACCTTCATAGTTTATAAGCAAGCCCTCCATTGCCAAGCTAACTGGGCAGAACAAACCACCTAGGTACCCAACACTTAACGTTCAAAATAATAATAATTCCTTCCTTTTCTTTTCATTGGCTGACGACCTAAACAAGCGCCCTTTGCCCCCCCCCCCACCCCCAAGAAAGAAAAAAATAGTCCTGTATCCTGATTACAGTGGTTGCTTTCTTCTTACCTCTTCAACAAACTTGAGTCATGAACCAGTGACAGTGAGGTTTTCCTCAGGTTTTCCTCTGGTTCTGCCTCCGATTTAAAGAAAGAAAATCTCTGAGCTCAGGATATGAAAATAAACACAGGTTTGGCTGCTTCTGCGATGAAGATCTAAAAAACAAAACCCTGGGGCATTTGACCTTTATCCAGCTTTCATTAATAATGCCACAGAGTGTTTTCATTCTCATCATCATCAGTGTCATCATCATCATCATCATCATCACCATCATCATCATCACCATTATCATCAAAATCTCACAGTCAGTATGTGTCAGACCACCTTGACCCAAAACTCAAGTTATGGTTCCATTCTAACCTTGGTTCACATTTTTATTTTATTTTCTTAAAATGCATTTTCATAGTCCTTTTATTGTATTCCCTGGTAAAAGGAAAATAAACTTGAACCAAGATAAATTTTGTTCTAATGCATCATAATAAGTATTATATTAATTATTTTTCTCGGTAATACAATGCTCCAGCTGGCATTGTTTGGCCTCAACAATAACTTAAAAAGTGACTTAACTTCCATCTCATCTTTTGTAAAGAACGAATATTTGTGCTAAAAATGCAATGCAATTCCAAACAGAGGAAGAAGCAGTCATTTGATGAAAAGTAAAACCTTTTTCGTCATTCATTTTTCCTCCCTTTTCTCATGCTCCTAACATTTTAACAACTAAAATTTATTGCATAATTTTTAGTAACATAATCATTTTGTAACATGTATTTATTGATGCTTTCCTTTCAGTTTTGTTAAAGCAGTTGGAGTTTGTTTTATGGCTGTTTGTGAAGGATCATACCCTGCCGTTTTAGTGTTTAGTTTTCTTGAGGAGCTCAAGCGTGAATTCACTATAACATTTCAGAGCCATGATGTCCAGAAAGCAAGGCGGCCTTATTCATTTGTGGAGTTTGGTAAGCAGTCTTTTTTTTATTTTATACTCTTGTTAAATTACTAACTAAATATTATTTCACTTTTATGTTTATCTTTTCTCAGACTCATTCATCCAAAGAACCAAACAAAGATACAACAACACGAGAACATTGACCTCACGGCTCAACTTAAGTGAGATGAGCGAAGACCTGCACAATAATCCTCCATTTCAAATTTCACAAACAGAACTGGGACCAGATAGCAGTGCAGATACGAAGACCTATAAAACAGGAGGTATGATCATGCTTTACTTTTATTTGATGACAAATTACTTTATTCTTACTTTGATGTGCAGCAGTGTTATATCACCTTTGACAAAGGCAAAGACATTCTGTGTTATCTGAGACCATAATGGCATACATCCCCACTGGCATAACATTGCATGGAGGGGGTTGGGAAGGGATAGCTTCATTCCCTTTTTGAAGTTGGCAAAACGTCAGAAAGGCCTTTTAATTTAGGGCAAAGTGTACAACTAATTTTGTCACCCATAATAGATAAAAGGGCATTAAATACCAGCATGGATAAATGAAAATTTCTTGCAGGACCAACGAGGCGGCTGGAACCCTTGACGTGGCAGAGTCTTATGATCTGTGTCTTAGCAGGCATCTGTGCACTACTTAACTTTCTTAGATGCATCCCATTTTTAAATGTTATTGTTATTGATGAAGAGGTAAGAATATGTAGAAAACTTCATGGAAAGTATGTGTGTACGGTCTATGTACACGGGTTGTTGACGTATCTGAAGAATGAGTGAGATTTTGCAGCGAATGAGTAGGAGTGCGTGAATACCGTACAAAGTACTTTCCATGTGGATTTGTGTTTATTATATACATACTGAGACATTCAACATTTTGCTAGTCTTTTATTTCAAGTCCTTCCAAAATGCTAAAATATCCCACCACACACCACAAAACAACATACGGTAGAACTGAAAACAAAGTAAATCATTAAAAACCTTTGTAAAAATTATAATAAATGAGGGTTAGGAAATGAGGTTAACTTTTGTTCTCAATGTACAATTAAAAATGAATGAATTTGATTGAAAGGGCCAGGTGGAATATAAACTGAAGACAAAATAGCTGCTATAAAGAGTACATCTTAACATTAGCTTACCTCTCATTCTGTTTTTTTCCCCATTCCATTGTTCATTCAGTTCCCTGTTATCTACAATTTCTTCATTGACAGTGAAATAAAAGACAAAATTAACTGTTCCACTGCAATTTCCAAGATTTTAATTTGTTGTTTTAATTTTTTTTTTAGGCAGATGATACATGGTTCTCAGCCTCTGGGTTTTTTCTGGCTGGCGTTCTCAATTGTTGTCAGGTACGAACTGTAGTTCATATTCCAACATTTGCAAGGAATTGCAAATTGCAAGGAACTGTTTCAACCCACTTTGACTCCACTTTGTAACCTTTTTAATGGGCACAAGAAAGAATGGACGCGTGCGAGGGAGACACGCGTAGGAAGAGGGACACGTGTCTCCCACGTGTGTGCCTGTTCTTTTTTTCACCCATTATTTCCTAGCGCCTGCTACACAGGCTACACAGTTTAATTCTTGCAATTTAACCAAATTCGACCATTAAGATCACTAGCTATGAAATTGAACCAAACGTCTATTGAAATTAGTTGTTTTTAAAATATTTAATTAACACAGCAAGTGCTCAGGAAGGTTTGAATAGGATTTTTATCAGCAATAGTCAGATTTTTGAAAGCTACTCAACCTGTCACTTTTTAAATTTTTACATGTTGATAAATAAAGGTGGACTGGGCGATTGACAAAGCTGGATCAGACAGACCACATCAAGCTCTGTAACCCTGTCCCTAAACTTTTGTTATTTAACGAGTTACAAGGAATGATCCAGCATTTGTCGTAGACACTGCAATAGAGAACTTTAGAGAGGGGGGTAAAGGGGGGGGGCGGTGCTACGCACGTATCACGGACTTTAAAAAGTACAAATAACGCATCACGGTGAATAAAAATCCGTGTTCACGTTTCACGCTTTTTCCGAAAGTTCATTTCATCTTTATTGTCGTCGTTGTTTATCGCTTAAGCTTTGCTCGCTTCTGCGGACTTTTCTAACAGAGTTTCATTTCAGTCGGGGATCCTAGACCACGCTTTTCTCAAGGATGTGCCGCTTTAATAAGAGCTTCAAGGGATGGATACTTACTATTTATGGGTTTTCGAATTCCTTCTTTACCTCCAAGAAAACCCATGGGATCTACATAATTTACTACTCCCTCTAAAAAACCTGGCTCATGTCACTGTTGGCCATTGCACCCGAGATCCCCACGCAAACTTCAGGCGTCTTAGCTCCACAAAAATATAATAGCTGACTTATGATTGATTCAAAAAATTTTAACGTCACGGAAATTGTTTCCCAGCTCGGGATCGAAAGCGCTCTTTTCTCAGCAGGTGAAACAAGAGCCAAAAAAAGCAGGGGCGGCGCCGGGAATTTTTACTTGGTGGGGCATAACTGGGAAAATGTGTTTCTCAGTTATTGTAGCCTGTGAACAGGCCTTTGGTCGAGCGTGGTGGGGAGAGGGAAAATCTCTCCCCCGCTTTCCCTTCCCTTTCCTCGCTATTTGTCCCCAAACAGAGAGCCTGTTCACAGGCTACAGTTATTGACGCGATAGCGCCAATGATGAGTGCCGAAGGTACGAGAAACTAGGGGGGTCCGGGGGCATGTTCCCCAGGGAAATTTTGAAAATTTAAGTACACTAGGATGCAACCTAGTGCAATCTGAACGCTAGAATTTGACAAACAACAGGATTTCATTGCCGTCAACAAAGTAAGAAAATACGAACATTAACCACAATGGACTGTTGATGTCTTGCAACGTTTATTTTCACGTAGAACGACCAGCATTGCAGTATTCTGCTTGCAGAATTTAATATGTCTTCGAAGTAAGAAAAACGTAATGACCTTTTCCAGCTGAACAAAAAACTTCTTACTTTCGTAGAAAATTATCAACTGTCAGTTTATTTTAGCGTTCAATACATGGTTTGAGAAAGTTTTAATTGACATCAAATTTTTAGCCTGCGAGCGAGCTCTCCATTTGTGGGATATCGTGAAAAGTACACGCGCGAGAGGCACGCGAGAGGAGACGCGACTCTCGCGGCTTCGCCCGATCGCTCGCGCGTTCTCGCGCGGCTCGCTTCGCTCGCCCAAATAGGAGAGCTTGCTCGCAGGCTATCAAATTTTCCAAAGGGATTTTGCCTTGTTAGCGCTATCCACGGGATAAATCACTATCCAGTGGATAACGCAATTAGTTTTCGGAATACTCATCCATTGGAAAGCGTTTTATCCGGCAGATAGCGCTATCCAACTTTTGAACCTCCGGGGCCTGGATTAGACAGCCAGCTATCTGTAATTTGTTTGTACGATTGTGCACATTATTGTTGTCAAAACATGTTATTTCTTTTAATTTACAGCTTTACCTTCTTCTATTCTCAGTGAGATGGAGAATGTTATTAGCCAGGTCATCCCTAGTCTTGTTGCTGCTATGTATCTATTGGCTGCGAGGTCTTCGTAACATCTGGCAGATTCTCTTTCATGTGGCCGTCGCTTCTCTTGTGTTATATCAAACAAGCAAAAGGCAACTACAAGAAAAGCCCGCGGACTATAATGTTTGAAAAAATTAGTATAATATATGGAACATTTTTAATATAAAAATCTCTAATATCAATACATGTACAACTTTAAGCCCAGATAAGGGTACTTAGATGTGGTGGTGGTGAGGATGTATAAATGTGGCTGCAAAGCCGGCAGTCCAATTTTTTGTGGGGGCGTTCGCAAACAAACCAAGCTGGACGGTTGTTCTGGCATATGCTGACTTCATAACAAATTTTTTTTTTCGGATCCATAGGTTTCCATTTTCTATAGCTTCGTATTTTTAGCGTCTCTCCCCAGTCTCGCTCTCTGTTTTTAGCCTCGTTCCAGACCTTTTGTTTGACTGCTCGCGCGTACTTGAATACGCAAAAATAAGGCCTGTTTTGCAGTCTAGCTTTGCCGCTAATTTGTTTGCACGTTCGAAAAAGAAAAGCAGCGACAAAGGCTACTAAATTGTTTATTAGATGCTTCCTGCCTCATAAGTCTCACGAATTAGGCTGAGACAAAGACCAGAAAAGTTTTGAATGATCCAAGAGAAAATCCAAAATAAATCCTCTTTTTCTCTGCATAACAATCAGTTTACCCGACAAAAGTCACCTAAAATTTTCTAATCATCAAAAGTCCTCGAATGATAAACCTCAAACCCTCTTAAAGGTGTTTGCACCTCCCTGTCATTATTACACAGCTTTCAAGGTGATTTCCTGGCAGGGGGTGGGTTTTTTCGACTGCAAAGCTGTCTTTTGGGGCGCTGCAGGGGTCACCCTCTTTGGAGGGCGGCGGGGGTTTTGGGGGGTTCTGGGCGGATGCTCCCCAGAAAAGTTTTGAAAAATAGACCATTTCCGAGAATTTCCGACTTGCCCCAAACTTCTGTTTCAAAGCGAGGCTAGCGGTAAAGCCAGTGATATGAAAATGACTTTTCATTCTGACTTTTCATTCTCATGCAAATAACACTCATTATCATAAGAACGGTTTTGCACTTAACCTCGTTTTGAAAGGGAGGGTTTTGGAACTCGGAAATGACCGATTGAAGCAGCTAATGGGTGTTTCCTTTATTCTGAGTGGAAATGTGACCCTCTGAAAGTAAGTATTTAGATCTCAGATTTTTCTTTTAACTGATCAAATATCAACTCTTTCCCAACAGTCTGACTTACATAGACGTGATATTAACATGAAAACACTGAACAACTGGAGTTTGTTGATCTTTGTTCTACATGCTGTTACTATTGTTTGGGTCCACAATAGAGTTCTTCAATCCCGTAATCCCGACCCAAAACTTCGGGTAATCCCGAGGATTATTTCTGTCATTCCACCTCCCGCGCATACTTTCAATCCCGAATCTCGCCACAATTTCGCTTTAAAATCCCGAATCCCCGGCTTCAAATAGGGGAAATCCCGTGTCCCGAAAATCCTATGAGGACTCTCTATCATCAGCGATGGTTCATGTTATGGTTCCAAGTAGGTTTCTTGGCACTGGCCAACAAATCTGCAGGTGTTTCATGATTCTTTGATAGTAAGAAGAGAGGCAGTTGTACCATCAAAGCTGAAGGGAGTTCACAGGGCGAAGCAATAAATACTTGCAATTAAGTGGGGTTTTTGCGTTTCTAGGCGATCGCTATGATAAAAAAATAATTCAGAAAACTTTTGGTTAAAGAAACGACCACACTAGACCTTGGTTGTTTACCATTTGCCACAAATTCCCGGAAAATTTTGGTTGGGATGTAAATGGTAAACGTTTTTTGGTTCGTCCCACTGGAAAATTCCGGGGACAAACGGAAATTCTGAAAAGGTAGGTCCCAGGTGGGGACGTTCCGAATGGAGTTTCACGTGGTAACTAGAATCCAGTCTAGCGCGGCGCGACAATCCGGAAATTTTAGGCAAATGGTAAACGACACGTACCGTTCTTACCGAACGAAAATTCCCAACCAAAATTTCTGGAAGTTTTTTATAAACGGTAAACAACCCTTATTCACGATACCCACCATCTTTTGCACGCGATTAAGGACTGATGGGATAGCAGCGATGTAACGTGGTTTCTTAAGGGGGCAAACATGGAAGAAATCGCAGTTGAGTTTGTTTATCCTAGACAATAGAAAATGAAGACCTTTCCGTCTTAAAGACGATAATGTCCAAATATGGGTGGAAGAGATCATTGTCACTTTTTTGTATGCAGTAGCGACCATAGATGTCCTCACGGCAAACAGTAATGACGTAACGTAAATCTTGCCAAACCTCGATATGCACATTTTACATGACTATGAGATCGTTATAGTCATGTATGATTACTCGTGTTGGCAAATTTTATCACTTGTTTGCCCTCTGAAATACCACGTGACATAGCTTTTATCCCATCGATCCTAGAGCGCGTGCAAAGATGGCAGGTATCGTGAATGAGGTCTATTCGATCACAATTAGCTAACTTTTTGTCGGAAATTTCGTGTTTACGAGTGAGAGCCTCTCATCATCCATGTGTATTGTCTCCAAGTTTCATTTTCACATGAACAGCAATAACTAACAATGCATTTGAAATCTGCAGAAAAATGTTAGCTATTGAAATGTTAGCTATTGTTGCCTTGGAGACATTACACCTAAAGATCTCAGTTTACATGGACGTGGGGGACCCCCGATAAGTGAGGTAACATGTGGTGGGTCAACCCACTTATCAAGTAAAGAGATCCAATTAAAAATGAGAGATCGTTCCAGTGACATTGTAACCCTGACCATAGCAAATACATGTTGATCTTTATGTAATGCAGCTGTGGTAGTAATTTTTCAAAACGTTTATTAATTACGACGTAGCTAATGCCCAAGCATGGGTGATATTGACCTTAAAAAAACCCATTGAGCCAGCTTACGGTCTCTAGAATACTTGGGACGAGCAAGAAAACTCAACGGGTGAACTTCAACTGGAAGTATCATCGGCATCATCTGACTAATTTCGGATACACTCAGTGAATGGAACATTCCGCTAATCTGGGTTTTGATTCTTCGGACTTCAAATCCAGTAAATCCTTTTTCAAAAGGGATTCGCCGGATCAACAAAACCAGAATTTGGATTTGCCGAAAGGAACGCAAAATCCGTTTTAAGATCTAAAATCCGTCAATTTTTTGGATTCGCCGAAGGGAACACACCCTTAGTCAGGCGGCTCCATCCGAAGCCTGGACAAGCACGGTATGCGGGACAACTTTTCCCTCGAAACAAGACGAAGTGATGTCAATTGTATGACTTTAAGACGTAGGCGTGACATGGACGCAGATGCTTGGTGGAATGTAAACGGTCGCTCGCAGTGGTTTCTCTCACCAGTCCCTTCCCAGCGTTTGGCCTGGAGAAACCATTGCCCGCAGGGTATTATTGCATCGCCTATATATGTATACATGGTCAACCAGGGTATTCGTGATAAGCAGCCTGTTTAATTTCTGACCGCGCGCTTCGAAAAAGTGCAAAACAGGCGGGTCCGAAGCGATTTTACTACGTTTGAAGTGTGTTTTAAGAACCCATTATAGAAGGTAAAAACCCAAAAATACAAAGGACAAAAATGCCTTTAATCAGAGAAGAAAATGTTTTACAAAAGATTCTCTCTGCGGGATAAACCATTTTCAAAATAATGTATGCTAAGCGTATGCGTAATATATTTATAAGCTTTTTAAAAACCATAATATAATATCCATTAAACAATAATGTTTTACGTAGTCGTGTGAAATATAAGATTTTATCTTAAGGTTTATAACTTAAATACAAATTTCATAATCTTGTGAGTGCATTTTTTTGCAATAAATAATGATTACAATATGAAAGTGAAATTTTCGGTAAAGACCTTATATCAGCGTCATAACAATTATTTTAGGCAATTTATAAATATTTTCTGGCTCCTTAGAAAAATTCCTTAACTAAAACATTATCCACATAAGTAATGGTTATAAAACTATAGGTGGATATAAAAAAAGGTTTAGTCCTTCAATTAAAATTAAACGAGAAGTGTACATACCATACGTTCTAGTTGGAGAGAAACCTCCTTGTCTTCTACCTATTGCTGTGAAGACAGCAAATTGAAGTTTCGTTTCGAAACTTCGCATAGAGCAACACTTCCAAATCAGTTTAAGTAACATTGCCTATCGTTCTAATGTGATTTCAGACAAGAATTGCGCAAAACTGGAGGTGTATGGTCTTTGATACATTCTGCGACTGAGCTTATATCCACAGAAGAGGATGGATCTAGGAGATCCCCCCCCCCCCAATCAAAATACTACGATCCATATCGGCACTTGATAGTGTCCGTTAGAGACCAACAGCGTTGTCCACTGACTACTCCAGCGGGTAAGAATTACCTCGGCATAGACCAGGAATGTAATTCTCAAGGTTACGAAGGCTATAAAGTATCAGTGAATTATGTTTATAATATTATCGGACTATTATTATGTTGATAATATTATCAGGGAAAATACTGAGAACTGGACCTTTCTTTCATTGACAGAACAAGTTATATATAACGGTGGCGTATATGATAGTTGCATGTCAGATTGATTAAAACAGAAGATATATAGTGCAATCTAACGCACAAATTACTATTCACAGGAAGAGAATAACAAACTTAGTCATGTCAACACTAGATATTCGTTATCGTAAAGATCTATCCAGTAAATAAGCAACACCATTCAACTCTCGTCCAGCAGTAAAACCGAGGATTACCGCAAGGGAGCACAATAGAGAGAAGTGTGACGTCACGTCACCATGGTAGCAAAATGTTTGGATCACAGCAATAGGGAGCTTACAGTGTAAGCAATAGCTATTATTAGCAAAACAAATTTGTACGCGGATGACGCTTTTTTGTTCCTTTCTTAGCCGTCGTTGCACGAAGGCCACATGAAACTTCCCAATTTCACGCGTCCGTTTTATGGAGTAGGTAAAAACAACACAAGAAGTTACTTTTTCTTTTTCTAAACTTAAATACAGTGCTTTTGGATTCAACCTCAGAAAATTTCGTTAACATTTGACAAATTAAAAGAATAGGGTTTATGAAGTTTGAAACAACACAAATTCACTTTTTAAGTGACGTTTATCCAGACATTTTGCTACCATGGCAACGTGACGTAACGACTTCTCCTCTCTATGCTGGCTCACTTCTTGCGCCGAAGCAACTTTATATTGAAAGAATGTCTTCAAGATGAAAACAGCACCAACCAAAGATAAGAACAGTGAAATGCGAATATTCTTGGGAAGCTACATGCCTCCACTAAAATGTGTAAGCTAGTATAACCAACCGTCTTTGTTCAAGAACTCGTTCAATTGCGTTTACTTTTCTGCCTTAATTATCCCGCGGAAAAAGCTAAGGCTAAACCTCTTAGGCGAATAATAACCGGTTTTTTGGCTGTTGAGTAAGGTTGTATTCGAATATATATATTTAACCAGCTAACTCGACATTCAATATTTCACTCCTTTCAGAATATAGATGTTCGTCATTCTGTATGGATCTCTCTGCTTCAGTTCAAACACTCCTTCTTTGTGTAGAGCTAAAAAGAAAAAAGATTTGTTAAGCAACCAATCTTTCTTTTCCTGGTTAACAGCATACGACCTTTTTTCTGACATCACTATTCGCGACAGCCTTTACAAATGCGCCAAAGAATCATTCGATCATTCACGGTATTACTATAGGTAATAGCATGATTTGTAGTGATATTTAGCATAAATACCAAGAGTGATATTTTGAAATTGTTACACGTAATTTTAGACAATTTTGAAATATCACGAGTAGTATTTATGCCAAATATCACGTACAAATCGTGCTATCATGTGTTTATACTGCTACCCGCAAACGGTTTGTAATTTTCACATGTTGGTATTTCAAATTAAGCTGAAATACCACTACTCTAAGCCAATCAAATCGCAGAAATTTCTCATAATAAAGAATACTGCACCAATAAGACAACGTTCACACCTGCACCCGTGTGAACGGGGACGGGTACAAAATGGTGCTTTGTCCACACTCTGAGTGCAAAAATTATCTTTTGTCCACTTTGCTCCTTCAGCAGACGCCGTTTTTGCAAAAGGAGCGCAGCAAGAAGTTATGGGTATGCGAAGAAGTTGATTGTGGGTTAAGCTGCCTCGGAACCAATGGAAAACACGTGTACAGAGGTACCCGGCCATGCCCGCATTCTGGCGTGGGTACTAAAAAAAAGTAGTGTTCTCATTACTGCCCAGTGACTATCGTATTCGGGCACCAAGTGTGAGCGCGCCAATTTTTAGTCTGGTGATCCTCGTTTTTATTGATTTGCGTCTTCAAATTTTAGTCACCACTACTTCAATGTGTATTTGAGTTTTATCGTTAAAGATGGGTGCTTTTTGTTTTTTTAGATGTGTGAAAAAGCTGAGGACGATGTTTTAGCTGACAGCAAATAAACCAGGGCGAATCTTCAGAAAGTCACTCACCTAACAGATGAAAAAAGGTCGTTGCTGCAGTTTTTCTCGAAGGTGTACGTTGACGCCATAAGTTGCTGAACACAAGAGGCCCATCAGTGTCTCTAAGAGCTTTGGTAACCAAACTGAATAGTGAAACTTTAGTCAAACAGATGTATGCAACAAGGCAAGCGAATGCATGTGACATGCGAAGCAGATGCATACCACATTGCAATTGAATAAATGCAACTTTGCCAAACTATACGTATCATAATGCAAACAGTTGATTTCAACATTGCAAGCGACAAGCGATATTACGTACATTAGTGTCAATATTACAACATTTCATACAGATGGTACTACAAGAGTAGCTTCGGCAAGTGAATGTTGGGTCACGGTGTTTGTGAAGATTTTGTGAATTTCACGATCTGTAACAGGTCATAGCAAAGAGTAATTCATACAATGATCTGGGCATGTCAAAATAATTGAAAGTCTCATATAGAATCATAGGTCGCAAGAGCGATAAACGACAAAAATGGCAAGGCTGTCAGTTTCATTTCAAGTTTGCCTAAACGTAACCGGTGTTAATTTGAAGAAACTATGAGACCGCCTGGAGTCTGATCTCAATGACTACTCACCTCAAAGTTTCATTGGTCCGCTCTTCTAGTAGCGTGATTTCAGGCTGCTCTGTAAGAGTCGGCAGATCACCTGAGTGTTCGATTGAATAGTAAAAATATTATTTTAAAATGGACCCTCTCTTAACCCGATTAAACACTTACTTTAAAACAAGTCCTCACTTTCTTGTTTATTTATTTATGACAACTGAATCATAGCAACTTGGTTTTGTATAAAAGTAGATGGTAAGAAAGAATGAAAAAACGTATCCATCAGCGAAGAAGTCAATCCGCAGGGCTAATACCCTAACGAGGTATCAGTCTCATACGGGGTCTAGATTTACGGAAAAATAGGTCATCATAACAAATACACACTTGCTTATTTATTCAGCTACTAATCAAAGTGGAGGTTTGGTCAAATAAATAATAATAATAGTCGAAAAATTTTCGGGATGACTGAATATAAATTTATAGGTGGTAGTATCTTTTATAAACTTTTTGGAACAGCCAAGAAAAGGTCGATAACCTCCCGTTAATGGACGTCTATAGCGACACGAGTTGGCGAAAGAGCGTGCGTGTCTGCCTTAAAGTACTAGATCATGGAATTCCTCGTAAAAAAGCGCGATGCGATTTCTCCGATCGACTTCGCTGTGCAGCCAAATTACATACTCGTTTCGCCCTGGGGACGAGTTAAGAGCGGATACGGTTTCAACATTCCATCGTAACGCACTTCTTAGTTATTTCTCACCAATATCCATGTATTCATCCAGATCAGATGGTTCCTGTACGGGTGGTTCCAGTATCGGCGACAAATACCCGATAGACGGGTGAAGTATTGAAGAAGATCTGGAATAAGACGTCAGGTCAGTAAGCTGAGATGTTTTCGGAGCACCATTTAGTCCAAATGGAAAAGCACGCTTAATCACATTACAGTTAAGTTTCCACAGGTTCGAATGGTGCAGGCTGGTGGCGCAGAAATGAATTCTTAGCTACGGCGAGGCTCAGCGGTTCATTTAGACAACAGGCATCCCACGCTCACGTTACGAGGGCGGAATCTAATTTACTTTCTGTGTCCCGAGCGAGTCGGTTTCGCGTCAAAGGCGACCGTTAAGTTGTTGTATGGGAAATATAATACTGAGGTTTATGGACGTTAAATCATATTGTTACATTCTACCGTTTGTTTAATAAAACGAGTAAAGACGACTTACCTTTGATGTATTCCTGTGTTTTTTGGTGTGAATTCATCGATTTAGTCGAGGTTTGGCTTCATTGCGTAACCCATGTAACTCCATTCATAACACGATATATTTAAATATCGTTAAAACGTTTGCACACCTCAATATTTTATTTCTCATACAAAGACTCACCGGTCGCCTGTAACGCGACAACGACTCACTTGTGTCACAGAACGTAAATTACATTCCACCCTCGTAAAGTGACCTTGGGACAACTTTTTTTAGACAATAGTAGATGGAACTGAATTCCGCTGTGGAATCTCCAGATGTATGAAAATCACCGTCTTCAGGATTCTTCACGATACACAACTCACTTTGACTCTGACAATGACAACCGCATAGGTCGTTAGGGAGTCCCTCACCCTCGAATGACAAACGGTCATTTTCAGGAAGAAACTAACCGGAATGATCATATCACACCTATGTATGACGTGACTCCTCGGTTTAAAAAATTAAGAAATTTACGGTCATATATGAGTCAGAGCGTTCGTGCCATTTTAAGCCGTATGAGTTTCGATAAACATAAAGCTATGAAACAGCTGAAACGTTTAATTAGAGACGGAATAGAAAGTAGATCGAGGGTTGCTCTAATTCAGCTCTCGCTGTTCGTACACAGGTAGAATAACCCACTTCCCACAACGCGTTATCTACAAGGCACGACTCAAACGCACGGTCCACGGCGCACGACTCACCCACCAATGCCAGATAGACAATCTCAAGAAGATCTGACAACACACCTTCCACGTGGAGCAGTGGGTTCCAAGTCCAGTTCTGCTTTTTTGCCTTGCTCACTACTCAGTGAAAGGTCCCTTTTGAGACCACTGTCTATAAGAGAAGAAGGACAAAAACAAGTATGAAAACTAATGATAACGCTTTTTTAGATCTCTTGTTTTTTATATTTGGAATCTTCTTAAGGCATGCCAATCATGGCAAAGGGCGCAACCGATCTGAAAGTTTCGATTAAGTAGTCTCTCAAGGGAAATACGACTTTACAATCATCATGATAAAGTTTATTTCGTATTTCATATTTCTCCAATCTGTACTCTTCCCTTGCCGGTTTTTCTGTCAGCGGCTTTTCGAATCAGTAGTGAACGACAAAGCGTTTGATCTATGCAGTGAAAATGTGAGACATTCCCCCTGCGGAGCTGTGTCAGATCGAAAGTCTGAGTGAAACAGTAAATTGGCATGCTAAGTAAAGAACGTGGCTTTACTTTACATCACTGTAAAGAGGATAAAAGAGCTAATATCTTAACTGTCAGTTGTCCGTCATGCGAAGTAATCATTTACCTTGTAGATCTGGAGTAAAGTCAGCACTTACGGACGAACGTTCAAACAATCCAGATCCCTCTGCCGCTGCTCTTGGTATCTCCCTCTCGGACGGGGTTTCAATTCTGCGGGCAAGCTATGAACAGAGCGAGGAATATGTTAACACATAAAATACATAAAAGCAAAACAAAAGCAATGATGTCAGAGTGCAGTGCTTGTGAGCCCGACGCATTATCATTTTACTGAATTAGCCTCATTTAAGTTATCAACAAGGCCGCTACGTATTATTTTTAGGTACTTTAGAAAGGGACAGGGACGAATGAAGTATTGGCTCGTTACCGACTGACAAAGTATGGCAGATCAGGAGCAAGAGCCCATGAGCAGGAAAGAGCAATTTCCATGTACTCGTGTCAGGGAATACTAATATAAAAAAAAACTTGAGAAGGGAAATAGCTGAGTTATATTCCGCCGCATTTTGTTTATGAGAATAAGAAGAAGGCTATGATGTCATCGGCGTTAATGTATTCCTACCCCAGCCTCGTCCTTAGACGTCCTCGGCGATCATCACCTGTAAAGCTTGTTGGGAGAATTCTCCAAGGACGCCTGGCAAACCACGGCAAATCCATAATGGCGGCCAAGTCTCCAGCCATTGCCAAATTCTCAAAGCAATGAAAGGAGCTCGAGCGTCGAAAAGAGGTTGGGATTCTTTTATCCAAGTTTGCCAGCAAACACAGAGAGTTATCGAATAATTTTCTTTAAGGAATCGATGGTCGAGAAATTTCTTGACCGTCGATTCCTTAAAACGAGGACGGATAGCGAGAACTGGCCTGGGGAAGAGACTGTTCCTGCCCTCCCAAATGAAATTTCTGGTGAAAAAAGTTGGGTCTCGCCCGTCCTTCCTATACTACTTGGATGAGCTCATACACGGAGCGAAGCTGTCATCTACTAAAATGTATCTAGAAAACAACCTAGACAGTGAAAACGCCGCGACATAGGCCTAGTGTGGGAGTTGCTTTCTTTACGTTATAGATCCTTGGATAGATATTTTCCACAGTTTGCTTTATCGTCCATCTTAACGGATCAAACCATGCTCAAGTAAATTGTTTCAGGAGATAATTCAATAGACATCCGACGTAACAGGAGAGTTTCAAAGATAATCCATCCTAAGCTTCCTTAATATGTGAGAGTGGTTGCAAGAGAGACTTGACTACATTTGCGACCCAAGACGTATTTGCCGTCGTCCCTTTTCTCCACCCGCAGGCTATATTTGCGAGCCCTAAACTATTTTTTTAGTGTTGCCTTAACAGCTCTGGCGATAGCGAGTGCTCACCTCAATACTTTCACCACGTGACGACCTGGGAAGATCTGGGCTTCCCTCACCCGACTCTTCAGGCTCACTTGAATGATATTCCTCAGGGGTGGTGACAGCATTTCTTTTCCATAATTCCAATAACGGCTGGCTACCGAGTGCTAGATGAATACACAAATGAGCCAATGAAAATAATCTAACGGAAGAGTTAAAACGTTGGCATGAGCATGAAAATATTTCATATCTTTTCATTCCGTAAGAAGCTCTAAGCTGTAACAGTTTTCGATTTCTCTGTTTTTAAATCTTTTTCATGTTAACATTAGTATACTTTAAATAAGATAGTCTGATCATTTTCCAAACGTAAAAATAAAAACGATTGATGAAAAGATTAGAAAAACCGGGTTTCTGGCTTCACTCGCTTCGATAAAGACAAATAAAGAGGTTTACGAAAATTACAAGCCATCTGTTTGGCTTAAATCATCTCAAAGTTTACTTTATTATAATTTCAGTAAAGACTGATTGTTGAAATTGTTCTGTTTAGTACGTTTCCCTCTTAAACGTCTCACCTGCTGTAGTTGGATCCATAAACAAGTCCTTCGCTGATTTTAAGTAATGTTCATCAAGTTTCTGATGAGAAAAAAAAAGACATAAAAAACCTGATTTTTTTACTTACATTAAAAGAAAATTAGTCAACTCACACAAGTAAGGACTCAAGTTAAAATGAACCTTCTTCATTAACAGAGTTAGGAACAAAATAACCAAGAACTATCCACCTGCAAAACCTAAAGTTTAGATTCGAGATGTGTGAGCCGAGTCAACAATTTGCGTATAAAACCTGAGTTCAGTTTCCCCTTTTTTTTCTTCACAGACACAGGCGATTTTTCTATGTTCGCATTTTACCTGATAGCTTATCATGCCGACACAAAAAGGTATCCTGTATAGTACATGCGTGAACAGCAACAGCACAGAACCGGAACAAGTTGTTCACACACACCGAACACCGTGTTGGAGCCGTTGGCTCGGAGGGTTTGCGCGCTAATTCCCAGTCCTCACTCCCGAATGTTTACCTCCGTTTCAGTGGGTTCGATTCTTCGTTCCTACTTATTCACTTCCGCGACGACGGTCCGAATAGGTGTTCACAGTGCACCAAAGTATGGCACAGAAACTTATCCGATATGTGACGCTCCTCTTTCGATATTGGCGCGGTGCAGCTTCACTCCGTCACAGAAATCAGGCCGAAATCACCGTTTTTGTGTGTGAACAGAAGCCCTATCCGGTTTTCGCGCCTGCGCAAAAGCTATCTGGTATAGCATGAACATAGCCTAATACTCCCCAGTGCCTTGCGTCTCGCGGCGCTGCAGTTTGCCAACATCAAAACGGCCAATGATATGTCTTTTCAGGTACTCCAGTTTACTCACCCGTTCAGAAAGAGTTTCTCGTCCTCCAGTATCAACGTTCCTTTTCATAACTTCCTTACTAAGTGTAATAACGTTGTCAATAGCCATTCTTCTCCTCTTCTTTGGCGGGGAGGGTGTAGTGGTAACGACCACTCCCCCGGGGGTAACAAAACCCTGGGGGACAGCCAACTGAAGAGGAAAGAATTTGTCATTCATTGAGTAAAGGGTTTATATGGACCACTCACTGGTGATGAAGGTATCAAACTATGAGTTATGTACCGCTGGAAGCCCAAGCGTTACTGTGGGTGGATTCGGGTTTAAGAGGACATCTAGTCTATGTTTATTGATATTGATGTGAGGTTTTCTTCTATTTGGGTTCAGACAATACCCATAGACTAAATGACCACTAAAGTGCGAATCCACGGCGAGTACGCTTGGGTTGCCTGTGGCTGATACCCTGGATGATACGGACGCAACACCTCCCAACATTGTTGGGGACTTAGGGGCGATTTAACCGCCTATAGCTCTACTAGGAAACGATGCATAATTGGACTTCTTTATGGGAAGTAAATTCAATGTGTTGCAGATGCATTCTGCGTTTTCGCACGTATAATAACTATAGTTATGATTCTCCTAGTACCTAGCTGCATAATTCCGGATTCTGGGGGCGAATTTAAGACGTCGAAAATACTTTTAGAAAATCGCACAAATTTTAGAAAGAAAGTGACAAATTCGAGAGTCTTAGAGCAATTTGAACATTCACCCGACATTTTGGCAACATCTCACAGGCAAAAACGTTGACAAAACGTTTTTTTGTTGTTGTTGTATTCCTTCCTACCATGAGAGGGCTCAGTCCGATCGCATGCTTCAGGGGTGTCTAGAACACTGTCTACTGAGCACAACAAATCAGTGGGTTTTTTTTCTCAATCCTCTACACTACAGCTTATCAGCGGTTGTTCACCAAAAGGGGCCTCACAATAAAAAAACCGAAATTTCTGAGAATTTTTGGGAATTTTAGAGAGTTTTTGGAGAATTTTTTTGATATTTCTAAAATAATTTAGAGCTTTATTCGGGGAAATTCGGGAAAGAATTATAGGCCGTATTTCGGGAATTATGTAGCTGAGCCTTTACTCTTCTTACCTCATCTGGCTCTCTAACTGAAGTAGGAAAATCTGGAAGATCTGGTTCTGTGAAACAATACTAACATCAGGAAATCTGAAACAACGGTTCATTTTGAAGCAGGTTGAGGAACTTCACATGTACTGTGTACAAAACTAACGCTGACGAGCCACAACAACATACCCTACTCATAAGCGATAGATTCAGCATCAAAAAACGGCTCATGGTTTTTAAAACATTGCTAAAAATATAGGTCGGGCTGAAATACGTGTTTTTAGTTTTAGGAGGCATGTAAATATTCTTCTTATATTAAGTAGTTAGATTCTCTTGGTAGTATTTCAATTAGTGTCCCCTGTTAGTGGGCCTTACTAGGCCAGCTAAAAGACTAAACACCTTAATAAAGTTCGTCATCAACATCATCAGTTACGTAACTCCAGAAAACTGATTTTCTTAGCTAGAGATTCGCGAGTGTTTACTGGTTGCCTTCATGTCTTGGGGCTCAGGGCCCGGTTGCATAAAATCTGGACTTAAGTGCTCACTTAAGTAGGTCACTTACGAATCGGTTATGGGTACACTTACGGGTGTTGCATGGAACGCACTTAGCACTCTCGTAAGTTTCTGTTTTACGTGGTCACTTACGGGCTCACTTAAGGGCACACGTAACCTTGATATAGTACTTTATTTTTTTTTAAGCTAACCATCGGCGAGTGTAAAGAAAGTTAAAAGTCGTTTCGAACACTTTTAAGCCTCTCAAAAAATGAAATTTGCGTGCAAAGGTTGTTTTTCTGCAATATCTACTGTAAATGTTAGTTCTTCTTTTTTCACAAAAGTTTACATCAGAGGTTAACAAAGCGCATTAGAACGAATTACGTGAAGAAAAATACTTTTTTTCACTTCTCAGTAAAAGATCTCGTTAAATTTAGTAAAAACAGTAACGATACGGGACCTACATAGGTCCCGTAAATTTACGTGCTATTTTTCCCGTAAAAAAAGTTTTATGCAACACCCGCAATTTCTGTTGCATAAACGACACTTAAGTGAACACTTACGAAAATCGTAAGTGCAACCACTTAAGTGAATTCCCTAAGTGGACCACTTAAGTGATTTCATACAACTGACTTAAGTTACGAGTGCACGTACGCGTACCCGTAATTGTTACGGACGTTTTATGCAACCGGGCCCAGGTTCCTATTTATTAAATGCCCTTAGCTCCTACCGAACAAAGTTGGCATCCTTACCCTCAGGTGTAACCAACTCTCCGGTTCTCTCATCCATCATCAGCACTCTAGCCGCGGAAGGCTCTTCGTCCAGTGGTTCTACTCCAGACATATGAGGTGGGATTCCTCTGGTTATGAAGGTCAGTGAACATGGTTAGTAAAATAAAAATGAGCGCAAAATGTTTGTGACTTAAAGTATATTTGAGTATATATTTGCAGTGATATTTTAGTCTCTCCCTTGTTCCAAGGGGGTTACAAGTTAGTTGGGAAGTGACATCGCACAACAGCGAGGCAGCGGGTGAGCTATTTAGGCAATACAGATCGTGGAAATAGACGAAAAATGGTTGATTTCAAACGCCTTGCTAAGACAAAATAGACGAATAACTGGCACACAAAGATAGCAAAAATGCGCACAAAAGATGGAAAGATAACTCCTAGAAAAACTGTCCATATCTTAAAACTGCCGAGGAGCTGACAAAGAAAAAGAAAGAAGAAATTCTTTGGAGCGGTAAGCATATTACAAGCTTGAAAAAATATTGAATGAATAATAAACGAACACCTTAAAACCAGTATGCCTTTTTCCATATCATACACAATACTTGTTATGTCAACTTACGGTTCTGTTGTTACTGGTGGCTGTTCAGACCTCGGTCGAGAAGAAGAACGGAGACGAGGAGAGCGATCACGAGGCGAACGTGGTTGTCGGGATCGCGGAGATTGCGAACGGCGGCGACGTGAACGCGACCTTCGGCGAGGAGACCTGGAACGACGTCGAGACGACCTGGAACGAGCTCTAGGAGACCTGGAACGGCGTCGAGGTGACCTGGAACGAGCCCGAGGAGAGCGGGAACGGCGCCGAGGTGAACGGGACCGTCGACGAGGAGACCTGGAACGACGTCGAGGAGACCTGGAACGGCGTCTAGGTGACTTGGAACGAGCCTGAGGAGAGCGGGAACGGCGCCGAGGTGATCTGGAACGACGTCGAGGGGACCTGGACCGAGCACGAGGAGACCTGGAACGAGGGCGTGGAGAACGCTGGCTAGCGTCTGGGCGAGGCTGAGGTTGATCAGGCGAAGGAGGGTGAGAAATGTTGATATCATGTGGAGGTAATTCTCCGGTTATGTCTATCTCATCTGGAATCTATCGAAAAAGATTGAAGACTAATAAATAAAATATCATACAAGGTTCTAGGTTTTCATATCTGTATAAAGTTGAGAATAAATTTGTCCAAGACGAAATGAATTATTGCTACGGCAATATGTCCAGTATCTAGGCGTAATAGGTTCAAGTTTCTTCGAACTGCTAAACTCAGTTTGCATTTTAAATAGGTTGTCTTTGCATCATACTTCAAATGTCCTTTTTCCCGGTCTAGTAATTCATATCCTCGAAACAATTTGGCAAGCACCGCTTAGGCGTGATTGCTATAATACTTACCTCAATGGGTTCATCTCGCCGCGTACGAATGTGGTCGACCTCAGGTATTCTTATATCGGCTGGCCTGGCAAGATAAGGGCTATGTTCAAAATCTGAACCTGAGGGCGCACGCCCTTCCCGAAGAAAATCTGGGCTTTCAAGTTGAACGGGAGTCCGTGGTAAACTTGGGGGACTAAAATCTCCGTCTGTAGGCTGTGGTGATACCGAGCTTTGATATCTTTGACCATTTACGGTGAAGTAGTCCCCCTAATGAATATAAGGATAAAGGCAGTTAAGTAAGGAGCATTAGCATTACTGCAGTCCTCTCAAATCTAACTCCATATCCCTCCCATCCGAATCCACACACACTTGATTAACAATTGACATACATGAAGTCCGTTTCCGCCCGCAAATAGCTATACAGCAGGTGCTAGTCGAGGCGGGCAGAGATAAAGGGGTACAAAACTTAAAGTCACAGGGCTCGACGTTGCGACCTGTGGGATCGCCAATGCGACCAGCTTTTACGCATTGGCGACTAAATTTTCACGCCTGGTCACATCAGTCTGTCATTCGGGTAAATGGAACGTTGTGAGACGAAACCCTTCTCAGAACAAGGTCTTTTTCTCTTTGGTTTGCATTGTGCAAGTGCATTCTCTTATCCTGATAGGGCCGCTTTTATTCGAGGCAGAGAAGTCAGGTGTTTGTCGCCATTTTGAGAACCACTGACCTCAACCCTCGGGTAGTCCACCTAAAGGGGGGTCAGGAGTTGGCGCACATAACAAGGTTGAATTCCAAGTTGTTAAATTTTTTGAGGTTCCTGATTGTAGCTATAACATTTTCTTTCTATGATGTTTTACAAGGCTTAAAAGATATTAGAGCTTTTGGGAATTCCCATACGTCGCTAAAAATTTAATCAAGTTGCCCCCAAAGTCAAAAGTTGCTCCAAATAGCAAAAGTTGCCAGAGAGTAACTCTAAATAACAAAAGGTGCTATTTAGGTGCTCCAGATATAGCAAAAGTTACCAAAAAGGTGCTAAACAACTTGAGGCTGAAGCTATCTATGTCGCACACAGCTATCGATATTGAACGGTCCTATGGTAGGAAAAAGGACGCCGATAGCAACTGACAAAGGCCGAAAACGTTCTTGTGACTTTTCACGTACACAGCAAACGGCCAACGTCAAATTCTAGTTGAGAATTTCTCAAAATGAGAATGAGCAAATAAAAACGGTTCAAAACAATTCTTATGGATAAAAAACGTGGGTGAAACTACTAATTTAAGTGTAGAAATAATGAACAGTAAACGACTAGTTAGGGAGACACTTGGTACAATTTCACGTTTGCCGTTTGACGTAAAAGTGATGCTTAACCTATCTATTGTCACTGCTTACCGGCCCAAAAATGGCTATCCGGTGAACATCCAAGTCCAATCGAAACGTCTCAGTTGAGAAATCCAAGGGATCTGTTATGGCTTCTTCCCTAGTGACAGACACAAACATCTTTAAATATGACAACAAAACTGCTTGACAGGATCCCGCCAACTTTATCTTTAAATGGGGAGCTTAAGTAACAACGACGGCGACGTCTACGAAAGCCTCACTCAAAAATTGAATTCGCGCTACTTCAAACTTTATCGCCCTTATTCCAACTTGCACAATTCGTCAAATGTTGGCGAATGTCTCTGGAGTTGAATTCTAAAAGACTATATCAAAGTTCAGGAAAAGAAAAAGAAAGTCGTTGTCTTGTGTTCACGTCCACTACAAAACGTGAAATAAGGCATTTTCACGTTGAGTCGTGTAGCGACGCCAAAAAAATGTACGAAAAAGCGTGATGCACGTGCAAAGTTGTTGTTTTGTCAATCTAAACCTATTACTTTTCTGCCGTTCTTGTTGCTGTCGCCTTCGCCGTTGCTTAAGCTCCCCAATAATTAATAAATATCAAGCACCTGCTCGTGTGGCTAAGCATTTAGGGCCGGTGGAACTGCTTTGACTGACAGGAGAAGGGACCAAGGTCGAGCATCTCCATGGGAGTTATATACAACCCGTAAGCAGTTGATGATTTGACTTACTTGCTTCCAATATCCTCTCAGTCTCCATCACAGCCGTTTTTAGTGTCGTCACAGTCAAGCAACGCTCTTATAGGGAGGAGCGTTGCGTGACGACACTAAAAACGGCTGCGAGGGAGACTAATATCTCCTGCTAATCTATTCCTTTCGGGTGAGATCAGAACGCGCATCGGCAAACAGCACCTGTCATGTAAAGACTGTCGAAAAGTGTGTGGCAAAACGTTAAGCCGACTTCAAATACCAAGATCATGGTATACAATGTCTGTGTATAGGATGCGCTTCGCTGTAACAGCGAAACCTGGACAGTTTATTCTCGACAGGAATGCTGCCTTAACAGTTCCCATCTGCATTGCCTGAGGGACATAATGGGTATTAATCCTGGCAAAATAAAATACCCAACGTACCTAACAAGGTTTTCCCAAAGGGGAGCACACTACAAGTATACATGTATTAGCGTTGTTGTCCAAGAGACAAAAAACAACCTGGAGAAACTCCATGCAAGGGCTGGACGGATTGTATATGTACTGCCATGGGACACCAGCGCTGAAGATGTCTTAATGCGAACTGGATGGGATAGTCTGGAAACAATGTACAAATTGCGACTAACGGAGTTTGTCTTCAAGTTTTTAAAAAGTTACACCGTCACGGAATTTGAAGATTTGTTTTTACAGAGGAATTCAGGCCGCAGAAGTAACGAGAACATCATTCTTGCAAGACCAGAAACAAATTTTATCAGGAACTCCATACGCTTTCTACCAGCAATGCTGATCTTTTTATCGTGCTAAAATACAGTTCTTATCTATCTATCTATGAGACGATTGCGCTGATTCGGCCATCGTCGGAGCATAGAAGACGGGCACCTCTCAAGGGATGTACTTTATGGCGAACGTACGTCATTATCAAGATCAGTGGTTTGCCCAGTGCTAAGTTGCAAGGACGTGTACAATAGGGGCATTAAGTCCAGCGAGATAGACCCTGACTCGTGGGAATCATTTGAGTGCCGAATGATTTCGGCATTAAGCCTTGTGTTGTTCGGGCGAGTGCAAAGAGATCGCAGGCCAGGCGGGAACAGTTGCGTGACGACAAAGGGAACAACAAAGAGGGGTAGCTGCTGCCCCACCCTCACTAGGTACAGCTTACATATGTGGCAACTGACTGGAACAGACTGTCACTCAAGAATTGGTACTTTCAGTAACACTATACCCTACTTTGAAGTCAGGAATTTGGTTTTCCAGTGCTTTCCACTGTCTTTCGAGACAGAAGGAAAGAACAATCAGAGAAGAGGGGGACGGGTGTTCAAATTATTCTTGAAGTGGTTGGTCCTGTATGTATACTGTAATGTTAGATCGTTGGGGTGAGGACCTTGTTGAGTGAGAAGATGATACCGAGAGTCACTTTGCTGAAAAATGGCTGTTAACTGGGTCATAACTGGCCAAATAATTTGAGCCGCACAAAATCACACAACATGACATAAGATAACTTAACGTGATATAACAAAACATTACGTAACGTAGCGTAACGGTAGACGACATAGATGTCCCTTCTTTAAATACGATGCGTTTAACGTAAATATTTCCTTGTAGGCTCTTGTTAATCCAGCTGAAAACAAAAAATCACAACGGATATCGGATAAAATATTTTTAGTATTTACAGAGGAAAAAGTCAAAGGGATTTTGTATTACCTTAGCGATGGATTGACCAAGTCAATACTGCTGACTCTCAGTTCAGATGCAGTTTTCAAATTCTTCAATATATTTACTACTTCGGCTACAAAATAAAAAGAAATTAGACAGTCACATTAATTGAAGAAATATAGAACGATTTTCGCATGACCTTGAATGAAAACGCGCGAACAAAACAGAAACAACTAATAGGGCGATTTGATTGGTTTATCGAACGGATACAAAAGCGCGTGGCTTTTGGTTGTTTAAGAGGACGCTCGAGTGAAAAAACGTTATACCAGAGAACTTTCTAGAAATCAATCGATACTTCGCTTTGACGTCATACTGCAACACGATTGGCCAATTGAACAATGCCTTCTCCATATTAGGGTTTTTTGGCGCGAAACGAAGAGTCCATGTTTTGTTCTTTTCATCATTGGATGATAAAACAAATAACGAACACTTCCCGAAACCATTTTTCAAGATCATACGAAAATCGCTCTAATTTTTCTGCTGTCAAAATCAGTAAACCTTGTACGCCTGAATTATTTCAGGAACAATAACGGCTAGTGGTACACTTTGTGGATTGGAGCGGACAACAAAGCCAAGAAACTTACAGGGGAACCAAAAGACGAGTTTCGCTGCGAAAAGTCCTCTAATACTTGTTTTCAAATAGCATTTGGAAGAAACCTGTCGTTGTGTGCCCCTAACCTTTAATCAGAAAGAGAAACAGTATATCAAAAACAGGGCAAAATCATCAAATTTTCCTTACACCACACTGTTCTTGTTTGTTCTCGGTAAATTAGCACAACACCAAACATGAGGGTAGACGATAATCGAAGAGCGAATGGAACCACAGGATCTACAATATCTCGACTACAACAAAAAGAAACCAAATAGTTAGTTGATTTTTTCGATTCAAATACACCAGAATTTAAAAATCAAAACATGAGCAAGGTATTCCCGCCGAAGGGCACAAACTAGTCGAACATGATGATATGGACATTACAACAGCTAGCCTGAGAAAACGCGGGACCACGACTGTTTTATCCGCGAAATGACGTCTGAAGAACGAGCACAGAAACCTCTTTACTGATGACTTGTTATTACTCTTTATCTGAAAGGGGCTTCTGATTGGTTGTGCCGAGATGAAAATTGGCTTCAACCAAACAGAAACATTACCCAGGTCTGGGTAGTGAAATGACTTCGGTATGGATTTTGTCCAGTCGTTCCTCAGACGTCATTTCGCGCGGAAACGTCTCCTATGTTTTGATATTCTATTTCTAATTTTGATATTCTAATTCCTATGTAGCATCATCTTCAGGGCTGCATACCCCCCTTGAAGGACTGACAAACCAAGACTGGCCTTAGTCAGGCATTTTCACCGAGTTGAAAATGGAGAGCCATGACACTAAAGAATGGCAATGGAGTATTAGCAAAGTCAATGAGGGCCGACATAAAGACTATATTTTCCAATCTCCTCACCAATCAAGATTTGGAGTAAGGAGATTATCCCGCAAAAGTGGAGAGAGGGAACAGCAATGGCCTTCTGCTTCTGCCGTGTGCTACACATGATCTCGTCATCACCAACACAATTTTCCGCATCCTTAACCATAACAAGACACCTTGGATGTACCTACACTCCAGGCATTGGCATTTGATCGACTATGTCATACAAGAAAGAGGGACAGGCATGACGTGAGAGTGACAAGGGCAATGTGCGCTGCAGACTGTTGAACTGACTATTGACTAGTCCTAGGGAAGTACAAACTTCGCATGGCGCCAACAAGAAGACTCCATGGGCAAAAGGCTGCAACGATGCTTAATAGCTCCACGCTGAAGAGCAGTCATGATGCAGAAGTTCAATCTAGTGGGCTAGAAGGAAGGCTTCTTGTTTTACCCCAGGATGGCCAGGACAACATTGAAGAGCGGTGGGCAGCCTTCAGAGATGCACTCTACTCTACCGTATTTGAAAAACTCTGACTAGCAACCTGCAGAAATCAGAACTGGTTCCCGATCCGATGAGACTGATGAAGACATACAGGCAATGCTGTCAGAAAAACATCAACTGTTCCGAGCAGAATGGCCCCACGTCACAAGCAAGGACTGATGCCTTTGCAAAAGCTAAACAAAAGGCGCAGAAGAAACTTCTCGTGGTATAGCAAGAAGGCCGATGAAATCCAGAGCTACGCAGACAGACATTGACCAGTCCTCTGGCTTCTCTTCTCTCCTCAGTACAGATGGGACTCAACTGCAGATTGAGAAGAAGCAGATCTTAAAGCGATGAGCTGAATACTTTTATCAGGCCGTCAACCACCCTGCTCAAATCAATGACAAGGCCATTGCCCGCCTACCTCAAATTAGGACCTTGATGTGGTGCCTACAGATTAAGTCTGAAAGGCCATCAAACAGCTGTCATGTGGCAAAGACCACCAGTCTAGCTAGTGACAATCATCGCGTGCTGCTGAACCGCCTCATCCAACATTTTGAGCAGGTCTCCTACTAGAATGCCAGAGTGCTTTTCGCTCGGAACGTGGGACATGATATTTGGTGCAAGTCAGCTCCAGGAAAAATGCCTAGACCGACTTAGCGACCTCTTTGTGACCTTCGTTGACCTGACCAAAGCCTTTGATAAGGTGAGTAGAGACGACTTGTAGAAGCTAACGTTGAAGTTATCCGTCAGTTTCAGGATGGCATGATGGTATAAAGTGTTTATGACGGAGACGATTCACAAGCCTCCCCAGTTACGAAAGGCGTGAAACAAGGCTGCTCTCTTCAGTATGGTATTCTCGGCCATGCTGACTGATGCCTTTTATAACTGCCAGGACGGAATACCGGTCAGATACAGGACTGACGGCGGGATGTTCAACCTCAGGCGCCTGAAGTCTGTTACAAAGTGAAGAAGACCGTGATCAGAGACTTCCTATTTGCTGATGACTGTGCCCTCAACGCCAAAACAGAGGAGACGATGCAGCATGAAACAGACTGCTTATGTCAAGGCTGTGACAGCTTCGTCATCACCATCAGCACTAAAAACACTGCTTAATTTATGTATCAGTCTATACTTATCGTTAAGGGGCAGAACCTACAGGCAGTTGATCCTAACTTCACCTATCTGGGTAGTACACCTTCAACAGAGGTGTACCTTGATGCTGAATTCAACAACAGGATAGCTAAGGCCAGCGTCGCCTTCTAAAGACTCCGTGAGAATTTCTGAAGGTTTTCCGTGCAGTGGTACTCACCACTCTCCTCTACGTTTGAACTGTCTATAGCAGACACGCCAAGCAGCTCAATCATTACCATTTGAGCTCTCTCCGCATATCCCTCCACATCAGATAGCAGGAAAAAATTCCTGGCAAGGAAGTCCTAGAAAGGGCCAACATCCCAGCGTGCACACCCTCCTACAGAAAGCCTTGGTTAGATGGGCAGGCCATGTCTCCAGAATGCTTGACAGCAGACTTACAAAGCAGCTACTGTATGGCGAACACTGTCAGGGAAATCGTTCGGTTGGGAGCACAAGAAATGTTTCAAAGACTGCTTCAAAGGGTCCCTCAAAGAGACCTGGACTGTCTATAGCAGACACAACGAGCACCTCAATCATTTCTACCTGATCGAGCTGCCTCCACAGACATCTCCACATCAAATGGCGGGACAGACAAAATCCTACCACGGAGGTCATATAAAGGGCCAGCATCCCGCACGTTCATACCCTTCAACAGAAAGGCCAGGTTAGATTGGCAGGCCATGTCTAGAGAATGTCTGACAGCCGACTGCCATAAATAGTTACTGAATGGAGAACTCTGTCAGGGCAAGCACTCGCTCCCTTAAAGATCTGGACATCAGCCCCAGTACATGGGAGTCGCTTGACCAGGACCGTCCAACTTGGCGTAGCAAAGTCACCACTACGGCAGAAAACCGACGGACCGTTAAAGCATAGAGGAAACGTACCGCCCACAAAGCCAGAGCAACCTCCATCTCCACTGCATCACCTACAGACCCACGGACCAAGTGTGGGCGGGCCTTCTGGGCTCGGATTGACCTCGCTTGCCATTTTCGGACCCCACCGCCGCTAGTCGTCAGTCTAAAGTCATGGTCATCTTCGACTTCCAAAGGATGAACAACAACACCAACCTTGTATGGCGTTGTATTGTGTAATCTTAAGGTTCCGGATTTGCAAGGAGGTTGCTATATCGGAGCAAGCAGGCAATAAATACGGATTTGAACAGCTCCTGACTCCTCCTTAAACAGTCCCTTTACAGAAAACACATCCCTTGCAAAAGAGCTGGGAGTCAACAAGAACAAGTCAAAGTGGTGAGCCTATTGAGGAAGTCAACTCCTTCACCTACCTGGGCAGCACTTTGGATAAAGAGTACACCACGGACTGAAAGATCACTGGTAGCCGCTTTATAAACCAAAGGAGGCGATTGGGGGACATAAACAGCCTTTTGTGCAGGTGATCTGAGTGGGAAAAGCTAGAACAACCCTCTTTAGCCTCAATGACATCTTGGTCTCTAGGGAAATAGCCACAAGACCAACACTGCGCATCTTCAATTCCAATGTGAGGTCAATCCTTCTCTACGGATCAGAGACTTAAAAAGAAAAAAAATGGATACTGCGAAAGACACAGACGAAAGACATGATCCGATGGCCCAACACACCGCGGTAGCAACGGTAAAATAATCATCTTGTAATATCTTCCGAGGTTATCAGTCCTGTCTCATAGTGTTAAACAGGATGATCAACGGGAAATTCGCTAAAATCATTAAGAAGTGCGTTTGCAACTATCATGGTCAGCCAACCTGAAGGTACTTAAATTTTAATTATTTAAAGTTGCCAATATTTGGAGCAGTTTAGAGTTAAGTTGAAGCTGTACTTGTTTGTTGCTGTCAGTGAGCTTTCCCTGGCTAAGAACCCCTCTATCTTTGGTTGGAGAACCCGGGTATTGATCCCGGTACCTCTTGTGTACGTACAGTAGGACCCCGATAACTCGAACTCCCCGCATACTCGAAGTAAAATTCCTTTTCCCTGACCAAAAATTCACTGAAATTTACACCGAAAACTCGAATTCTGGTTCTTTTAACTACACTATAATGCCATCCCATTAGCTCTTCTTGTTGTATAAGAGTAACAACGCTAAAACTAACATTGATCACTATTAAAGGTAGTTGATTTTAATTGGTAAAAGGAACAGATCACGTTTTATCATAAAAGTGCCCGAATCATGTTACCGTTTGTGATGAAATAAGTAAACTTGTTCTGCACCATACACTGATGGAAGTACTGAGAAATCAGTAATTATTAGTTTTTAAAATGGCATATTGAATTTTTCAATCGACCTCGATAACTCGAAATCTCGTTAGTTCGAGCTGTTTTTCGCTTCCCTTCAGAGTTCAAGTTACCAGGGTTCTACTGTAGTTACAGCTCTTCCAAAAAGAACTGTTCCAGGTTTTAAAACGCTTTATAAAGGTTTGTGCAACGATAGACACTTTGAAGCGTTTTTTGAAGACTTTCAAGCATTAATAAAGCAAAAAAACTAAGCACAACTGCTAGCTGGAAGCGAAATAAAATAACGAATATTTTTCAAACCAAAAAAAAAAATTTGGAACGCTTCACGAATTTGCGTGTCATCCTTGCGCAGGGGCCATGCTAATCTTCTCTGTATCGTTCCAATTTTAGTATATGTGCTACGTGAGTAACACGTCTATAGCCTAGATAAAGTCTTCTATTTATTTGTGAAAGAGCGGTGCGTCGCCCACATGTGGTACATTGAAATGACGATCATGTGAATTTCATATAATTTTATTTAAACCGCGGGATGAAGAAATAAATGCAGAGAAGATCAACAGAAACCCGGCAAGCCTGAATGTTTTTTTCAGGTTTTCTTTCTTCTCTTTTTGCGTCTTTATCTGTGATGACGCTCTCTGCATCCATATACACTGTTAATTACGTCAGACGCATGCGCAAAAGCTCGCAGTGTCACTCGTACAAAGAGAGGGCATTCATGGATTTACTGTTGTTGTGCTGAGGATTTCGATTTTTAAAATCCTTCCACGAAATAAAAAAAAAAGTCAGCAATTGTTTATTTACGGAACTTTGGTAAAGAAAATGCTTTAATATCCGTAAATGGAAACGGTCACGCTGTGTCATCACAGTAGGAAAGTAGATTTAAAAATTCTCACAGAAAGAGTCAAAACCAACACTCCAACATTATATTTGACGACGTCTCAACGACGTAATATTTTAATTTTCCCGGTGTTTTGCTCTCTTACGTTTGCGAAAGACTGAAAACTAATTCTTAGGCCTCTCTCCGTCCCCAGCCAAAGCTGTTGCACAAAATGGCGGCCGAGTCACGTAAAAAGTCCGTCGCCTGCAAAATGCGGTCAAAAATGTCGGGAGTTCAACCTTCAGGTGAACGAAAATGCCTCTTGTTGTTTTTGTTTTTTTTTTTGGTTTTTAATCTTCTTGCTTAAAAAAATTTAAACAGGAAATACGAGGCTAATTTTAGCGACCACTTTACATAGGGAACCGGCTTTCCGAGTTCATATTCGTCTCGCACTTTTATATAAAAGGTCGAACGCGGGTTTGAAAGCTTCAACTACGTCTTGTTATTGGTAGTTAGAGGTAGAATAAGATACACGTAAAATTTTTGGTCAAAAGAATCAAATTTGTGCCGCTTTGCGAATCTGCGTATCTTCCTTGTGTTTTGGGGGAAATGTTTTCGAGGCATGCATTTCCAAAACTATTAAGTTAACCAATGAGCGTCGTGCTCATCCGAATATTGACCAACCAGTCGACCAATCACAGGCATGGAACTTTCCAAAACTTCCAATTGTCCAAGTCTCATCGCTCAAGTGCTGTTGCTTCGCATGAGAAGTGTCTGTAGTTAACAGACTGGTGTGTTGTGGTTCACTTGACGCGTGAAAAGTAACATAAGCTTTTATTATCTATAGTGACAATTTTCATACGAGTCATAGACATAGACACTTTATTTTGCGTGGCGAATATGCTCAGTTATATGCCCGGGGGTGGGGGGTACTCACATACATTACCTATATAGGTATGTGCCGCCCGACGGGGTCGTGATTTTGAAGCTCCTGACTTAGAACGGGGTACCCATTTCACAGGCGATTTCTAGAACGGGGTATAATATTTCGAACGCACGAAAGCTCCAGTTTTGTAAACAGTCATTTGAAATTATTCAAGGACAGATTGCTTTTAAAAATACGGTTCAATGCGTTAACAAGCAAACTGTTTTACTCTTTGCACCCTAGAATGGAGTATAAAAAATTGGCCCATTTCTAGAACGGGGTATCAGTTTTAGGGCAAATTCTAGAACGGGGTATCAATTTTAGGGGAAATTTTTTTTAGAACGGGGTGCCAATTTGGAGTCCCTGGCGGCACATACCCACCCAAAAAATACCCAAGTGCCCCCCCCCGGGGCTATATGGCTAGTTTACAGATAACCTATGGGTAAATTAAGGCAGAAACTAAATACAAAAGTAATGTTCAGAGTTTGAATCCCTAATTGCTAAGATTATGAATGAACTATGATAAAATTTGAAATACCTTAACCTGAATTATGACTTAATGACAAAAGTCATTAAAAGATCTAATCTTTAACAATCTAAAAAAAAATCTAAAACTTTAAACCACAAACCCTGTTGCTAAATTCCTTAGTTCCAGCTAACGCATGCAAATCAAAATGACACTGTGCTACAATTGGGAACAGACACTTTGCCAATATTTGGCGCAGTTTAGAGTTAAGTTCAAGAAGTAGAACAGTACGTGTGTGTTGCTGACAGAAATTAAAGGGCATAAGATTCAATCTGGGTTACAGTCCTGGTTACCTCTCACCAGCAAGGTTTCCCCATCAAAGAACCCTGAGGATTTCTCAAGTCTGGATTAGTCATATCCGGCATCTAATGTCATGTGGGAGTTTATTTAATTTACAGTACACATGAGAGGAACATGATTTTTGCTTCAAAGAATAGTATATCATTGATGCCAACTCTTCCGGATAATATGAGAAACTCCAGATTTTGGACTGTATCTCCTGGTCTCAAGATTACAGTGTGAAATGTCCCGGATAATCAACAAAGGTTGCCATTCCTTCATTTCTGTAGACTCGACTTTCCGAGAATATTAAAAATTTCAACTATTTTGTATTGTTTGAGCTATTTTAATGTTAATACTGAATATTTCCTCATGGACCACATGGTAAATGCCATGGTAACTTGATAATAATGTGATTTGTGGGAAGTAAACCAATCAGGTCAAAATAATGTTACTATGCCAACAACATCTTTTTCACGTGTTTTGTGCCATCTCAAATTTGTGGTGATTGGTTGCACAAATGAGGTCATGTGCCATGCATTATGACATGATCTATTATCTCTTCCATAAGTTCCCTAGCTATCATTTCTCAATATTTGAAGATGTGGGGGGTTGACAGCTGTGGTGTAAATAAAGTCCCCTCCGTTATTTCCTTCAATATATTCCCCTGAATCAGGCGAAACATCAAAGAAAGCGAGTTACAGTAGCGCAGTGTTCCACACTGAACTGAATTGTCTTCTAATCAGCCGCACCTGAGCATTTGCACAAGGAAGAAAGAAAAGAAAATTATACACAATTCCCAAGAAATGTACTGAAAAATTAATGATGAAGTCGTCTTTTAAATGCGAGTTTACAGCTTGCCAAATCACTCTATTAGTTAGTTGTTGTTTACATGGCTTACTGCCTTGTACATCAGTCCCTTGTAATATACATGTATTGTTCGTAGTTAAAAGAACGGTTTGTTGCATTTCACTTGTAAAATAAAGTTAAGTTTAATTTCCATTGATGTTAAGAGCATGTTTCTGATATCTGCTTTTATACTGTGCTTTATAGTTTGAAACCACATTTTGCCTGAGTGACTGGAGCTGGAGAGCAGAGCTGTGTCTTATTTGGAAGAGGCAAACATAACAATGAAAAGTCCTCAGACTTCTGGTCAGTCGTACTTTTCAAAGAAGCCAGGTGAGGTAGAAGCCAAAGCCAAGAGTGAAGTGAACCAATCGTCTTGGCCATTTGAGCTTCAGTTTGGCAGATTCAAGGGCAAGACCTTCAAATGGCTCTTGGATACATGGCATACAATGTGAACAGCATGTGGAGTAAAACAGCTACAAGTTCTCCCTTGTCAGTAAATCAGCACTCCTTTGCGGAATATTTTAAGTTCTTCCCCGAAGGTAGAGAGGCCTTGGCATTAAAGAAAGCAAAAGCAAAAGAGCAAATGGCTTCGAGCAAGAAAATTTATGGATTTACTGTTGCTGTGCTGAGGATTTCGATTTTTTAAATCACTCCAGAAAAGAAAAGAAACGGTATCGGAAAGTAGATTAAAAAATAATGACATAAAGGGGCAAAACCAACACCCCAACATTATATTTGACCACGTCTCAAAGAAGCACATTTATTTTATAGTTTGAAAGCTTAATCTACATTTATCGGTAGTTAGAGGTAAAATGAGATGCACATAAAATTTTGATCATCCAAATAATAAAATTTGTGACACTTCACGCATTTGGATGTCAGGCATTTCCTAAAATATTAAGTTAATCAATGAGCACTGTGCTCATCTGAATGTTGACCAATCAGATGCATGGAAGTTTCCAAAACTTCCAATTTTCCAAGTCTTGTTGCTTTGCATGAGTAGTGTCAGTTGAGTTAACAGACTGGTTTGTTTTTGTTCACTTGACTCGTGAAAAGTAAGATATAAGGTTTTGTCATTTATGGTCACAATTTTCATAAGAGTCATCTGAATGAAAATGAAAATGTGCTACAATTGGGGACAGACACTTTGCCTTAAAGGGCCTTTCTGATGTTTTACCAACTTCAAAAAGCAAAAATGAAGCTTTCCCTCCCAACCACCTCATAACAATGAGTGCTGTAAGGGGTTTTAGGAGAGGTTTCAAACAGAGGGGCTCTTATCGGAGGGGACTCATTATCAGAACAGAAAAAGTGCTTTGATGCAGGGTATAGCAGTGCTGATCAAAATATGTTTTGCATTGACTGGTTTTTAATTAAGCTTCAACACATCACAATAAATAGAATTCATTTCAATTTCTTAGGGTTTAATTTTTAGCTATTAGGGGGATACATATGTACCTAGTCAGAAATTCAAATATGGTTGTTTCGCATTTTGAGGAGTTGGTCATGTCCCTGTTGGTATTTAGCCCACCTTTATGTCGTTTGTTGCCATTTCATTGAGTCTTGTGTCACTATTTCAAGGCCATGTTGCTTGTCGGAATTTTACCCTAATGAGGCTTCTATTGTGGCCTACATGTACACTACTGTGGTGATTGTCCTGTTTCTGAATCAACAGAAGACTTCACAGCATGATCTTTGGTCCAAAGAAAATTCCTTGATATGACATACAGAGTCATAATGCCTTTGCTGACTTCTTTGTTGGCTGGAGGGACTCCCCTTTATCAAGAAGCATCTCAACTGGAATCACCATGAGAGAACTTCAGAGCATCTGGCAAGCAACCCAAATAACCTTCAATCTGCTCCAGCAGCTTCAACTTATAAAGGGCAGATTTAAAACTGCCAGGAAAAGTACTTTTTTTTCTAGTGCTCTAGTGCTAGCAGTACAAAAAGGTGCATCTTGGTGGCAGAATAGCTTGGTTCACTTTGATTTACTGTCAAATGACCAGGATTTGTTTCATCTACTGTATGTTCAGTTCTTTGGAGACATTTAAAGGTCACTGTCATAGGATCAATCCACTGTTTCTTTGTAAGTGCTGAAAGTTTTTTTATCAATGTGCACTACACAAATACAACCATAAAAGCTCTTTACAACTATTTGCATTTCCTTTCTTATGCTTGCTTAATTAAAAGGTTAGAGCAATCTTTTTTGGAAAGTGATGTTGACTGCTTTACGGATACTTAACAGCATTTTGACAGCATACATGTAGCAGGTGATCGAACAAAGTCCTGTTCTTATTTTTTCATCTTTAAAGATAACAGATTCCTTTGGAGCAGTATATTTAGTATTGTGGGGTGAAAGTGAGAAGAATACATGTACATAGTCAGTCACTTGACACTTGCCAATCTGGTGACATTTGTACATTGATAGAAACTACTTTAATCTGCAGCTATACTTTATTTTGAGTGGTCATGATCTAGACGTTCCATATAGTTTATTTTTGCTGGTGGCCAACCCTCTGCGGGGGTCACCTTTTCATGACGGCCGCTTATTTTTGTCTCCAACAGTGTGTATGTTCACCCTTGATTTAACTGCTCTTCCCCCTCCTACATGTGCAATTAGGCTGTACCAGAGGGTTGGCAGGGATATCTGAATGCTGCAAATATTTTTTGAAAACAAAAATGTATAATACATACCATGCTCTGCAAATGTTGACTTTTCTGTATTCACGATGTGTCATCCCTCTTTTGGTTTCCCCATAAATAGCAGCAAGCCTTTCGATGAAAAAAACATTTAGGCAAGAAATAAATCATGTTGTTTGGTAAATTAATGTAAACAGTGGGTAGTCTGTGGAACTGGGTACGGTTGCACAAAGTACAAGTGTGAACATGCCGGACTGAATCTTGTGTGCTGTGATGTAAGCCTAGCTAGCCTGCATCAAAGACAAGCTAAACTCTGCTTAAGTCTGTCTGTGTAACTGCAGCTCTGAAATCCTTGTTCTGGGCCCCACCTGTATACCAGGATTTGGATATGCACCAGGATTGGCTTGTTGAAAAAGCCATTGTTGATTTGCCAATCAAGATGAAAGGAAATAATATTGGAAACCCACTTCCCATAATTTATTGAGCCTGTTGGTGGCCATGAACAAAGATATAAATTATGTCTGTCATGCTATATTTAGCCAGAGTCCTTTTCCATATAGGACTTAGTCTGGTGTGCAGATAGTACATGGTGCCATAGTTTTCACATGTTTTACCTCAAATTTCACTGTTTGAGGTACATGTATGGTCTCACAGGCTCATATTGCTTGCAACTCTGGTAATTCCATTAATAAACACGGTAAAAGAGTAATACACAATGGTACTAACAATGTTGCCGGTTCACTAAACAAACAAACAAAACAATTCAAAAACCGACAACACTCTAAAAGGAACAAGACTTGGAATACTGTATCAGGTACAGTGGTTTATAGCAAGGGCGGATCCAGGATTTTTTTAGTGAGGGGTCCAATCTTCGATTCAGAAAACACTGTTGAAATTTTGTTTGTGGCAAATTATCCCCCATACTACGATACCCCAGCTCCCCTCACTCCCCCCCCCCCACCTCCCCGTGAATGCCGTATCTTGGTGCAGATCAGGATCAGCAATGTATAATAACCCTTGAAATATTGAAGGCAAGGCTGATCGGGTTGCTATGAATGGGTGATTAATTTGTCTAAGCGAAATACTGGGCAAACAAATCATTAATCCGAAGTACGATCAGCCTTGCCTTCAATTTTAAGCTGATAAGGTTAAATAAATTAACAAATGCCTTACGACGTAAACGAAAGATGCTGGTAGTACTAGTTTAAATATATGATTAGCAAACTTTATTAACAACATAACGCTTACCATATGAGACCAAGCCTTCCTTTTCGTGATAAAATATCAACGGAGTAAAACATTTTCCCTGACAAAACAAAAAAGAAAAGAACTGTAAGCTTAAGTATTATCATTTAGACCCAGGATGCAAAACTGCGGCACATTTGAGGGACGATCGTATCGGTATCTTCGAAGTATGATGGATGACCTATTAAAGTCTAAGCTAGAGCCAAGGCTAAAAGTGAAAGTCAAACATGTACACACAAACTATTGTTTTAATTAGCTTACTTACAGGAAAGATATGATAGTACTATCAAATAAATAAACTTTTCCTTTACGTTTAAGCTCGCTAAAGATCGCATCCGTAGAAAACGGTCATAAAAAATCCTTGAGCTTAACTTAGGCTTCAAAATCCGGTAGGTAATTCAAAGCTTCTGCGCTTAGAGCGAGACGTGTTGGATGCGGTGACTCGAAAAGAATGTTATAAGAACTTGTCAAATACTCATCCCACTGTAAAACCTTGCCTGGAATTTTTTTCCCTTTCACAGTCGATAAGGACTCGAGTTGTGGCTTTCTATTCTATTTGGTACTTAACGGGAAGACTTTCTACACACCTTTGCGATCAGCTGCTCGACGAAAAAACGCTGTCCGAACAGTCAATCGTGTTCCATTCATTCAGCGCGAATAAACCAATGAAAACCCGTGAACAGTAAATTTTCCCGCGAAATTTGACCCAATCAGGATTTTGTGTGGAGGAGGTATTTTTCTGGTGTTCCGAAAAAGAAAATACGCTTTTCTTTTTGTTTTAATCTGACCCTGACCCATTTCTGCAGCTTTCATTCGATTTCATAAACTCAAGAAATCACACTCAAACATCAAACGAGGCCCTCTGTATTTGTGTTTGTTGCAAGGGGGCTGCCAGTTGGCTGCCAGGAGTACGCCTAGTAAAACCTATGCGAGTTTTTTCTTTATTGTGCAACTAATTTGCAGGTCTGCAAAAGTCCGGGTCCAGGACATTTTTTTGACGGCAAGGCGTATGCTTGGTCGCTCATTAACCCAGATGCGGTCCCACCTAGGCTTTTGTTGATTATGCTTTTCATGCTTTTAAATCCCCACCAAGAGAGAATGATTTCCCGCGCCCCGCGCCGGCGTGGCTCTGAGGAACAAAGGACGACCACTCGCGGTCTAACACGGTACACAAGCAAAAACTCATAACAGTTTCTCCAAAAAATGATCCACTACACGACTTTTTTGAACTTATCTTTTTCTTTGTAGAAATATGTCAATTTTAAGTTTGTCAGAGGAAAAAAATTCCGGGGAAAATGCCACTAAAATGCTTCAAAAAATGTGTAAGCCTCGGGTCCCAGACAGACGCGGTCGAGGAAATAGACGCGGTTACAATTCGTAGCGTCACTTGAGCTTGAGACGGCCCAGCATTCGTCAACAAAAATAAACCATCGACAAAATGGCTGTGGTACATTTGGTTGGCCTTTTGCTCGCATTATTTTACTTCTCGCATTGGAGAGAAGTAGCTGGAACGATGACTGGAGGAATATCAGAGGTAGGTCCGTCGCCGGAAGAGGGAGTTATGTGTGACATCGACAAAGGAGTAGGCATTTATTTGAAGAACGAAACTGAAGATGGCGCTGACTTTATATACAAGAAAATCTGTGGAACTTTGCGTGCGTCCTCCCAAGTAGTACAGGGAGTTTTGTATCGTGTTGCCTTCGAGATGGTACCTGTGGACAAATATTCTTCATCCAGAGACTGCATTAAAATCGATACTGTAAAAAAGTTGCCATTTTTAGAGCGGGGCAAAGTAAAGCTTGGTTGTTTGACAATATGGTCAAGACCTTGGATGGAGGAAGAGAGTGAACGTTTTATAGTTACGAAGAAGGATTCCAACGATTACAGATCGTGCTTAGAAGTGAACAACTAGTGAAAGTTTGACTTTGGACATAGAGAAGCTCCAAGCATCTAAAAATATATTTCTACATTGGAACCTGGTTAATTAGTTTCCCGGGGGGAACTTTAGCAATTTCTGGGTGGGGATGTGCCGCTGGAACCCTGGAACCCTTAACCTATACCACAGCTAGTTCAGCTAAATTTTGCTACCCTATACTAGAGTAAACTCCCCAAATCCCCCCTATCCTACAGTAGCTGTTTCCTTAGTCTAGATAAAATCTTCAACCAACTGATCAGTTTCCTGAAAAAGGATACCCTATTCTAGACCCAAATGTTCTGATTTATATACCCTATCCTAGAGTAAACTGCTTGAAAACCATACCCTTCACAGCGGCACATACCTATGTAGCCCATATATGGCAGTACCCCGGATTAGTCAGTCTGTCCGTAGTATTAAGCCGACTCAGAAGAGGCAGGTACAAAAGTCGGACCGGATCAACTCGGACCGCCAGTCCAGGTCGGAACAACTCAGATTGACTCGGACCAACTCGGATCGAAAAAAAAAATTAAATAAAATAAAACTGGACTCTGATCAACTCGGATCAACAACAACAAAAAAAAACAATTAAATTAGCAAAACTGAAAATTTAACCCATTTGGAGGGTAAAAAAGGCCAGATAATCCTTTTTTTTTCTCCGTGGCTTTCAGCCGCCATTTGTTTTACTAGTGCCAGTTCCTCTCAGATCATGTTACAAACTCGTGGTTGCATTACACTACGCACACGTTCTGTTTCAAGGACACAGATGTGGATGTCCTCAAGGAAGGTGAATTCTCGACCATTTGCTTCATTCCAAAGAAAATGATAGTTTCAGTCGCCTAGAATGTATATATTTGCTTATTTTTAGTGTACTAAATTATTTGTGAAAAAAGTATCAAAAGCCTGGTCTGTCGATTGCATTTAGATCGTTACCAAAGAGTGTTCTCATTCCTGTTCGGTTTTTTCTGCAGGACTTCTGAAACTTTATTTTAATGATACGCTAGTGAGCAGCACACATACATCTCCAGTGAACATTTTCAACTTGGAAGGAGGAGAAAGCATGCTCGCCCGGGACAAACGAAATTTCCATGCACAGGGCAAGAATCGAACTTGCGACCCTCCGGTTCAGTGGTTGGAATATCCGATATAGTATTCAGAGGGTCGTGAGTTTGATTCTTGCCCGGGGTTTCTAAAATTTTTTTTGTCCCGGGCGAGCATAGTTTCTCCTCCCTCTAAGTTGAAAATGTTCACTGGAAGTGTATGTGTGCTGCTCACTAGTGTGTCATTAAAATTAATAAAAATGAAATTAATTTACCCAACCACGAGTTCATGAGAAAAAAACAAAATAGGGCATGAAAGGTAAGTGATGCCAGCAGACTTTATGTTTCTTTCTATGATCCGAGTCCAATTTTATTTCATTTTTATTTTTTTATTCGATCCGAGTTGGACCGAGTCGATCCAAGTTGATCCGGACTGGCGGCCGAGTTGATCCGGTCCGACTTTTGTACCTGCCTGAATCAGAAGCATATATGCTCCTGGTGGACTCTAAAAACGTCACAGACCTATGATTTATTGATATTAATACTAAAACAGACAAAGAGGAAGAAAGCTAGTACCAAAGACTGCAGCATAACGCCAAGGGAATGACACTTGAGGAGACCTTGTTGTTGTTGGCTTCAATGCAAGAGCAAAACGCATGATAGAAAACACGCCTACTCTTTTAGAAATCTGTCACCATTTTAACAGAGTACAATGTCTACAATTATCTTGATAGTGACAATGAAAATAGACAGTGGCCAGGTAACCAGTGTTTGTAAAGTGGGGTTGATGATATATAAGGGCTTGTTACTGTCAGCAAAAATTGCTTGTGTGTGAGTATTTACAAGAACATTATGTGACATGGCATAGCATAATATACTTTATTTGTTATCGCAGGTTGAAATGGGGCAGCCAAAGGCTGACATGATCTGCATTAGAGAGAGAAAATTTTTACTTAAAAAGTGTACCTTGATTATCCTGAACCCCAGTTAATCAGTGATCTGGTCTGGAAATTATGTAATGAATTTTAGGTCAGGTCTAATCACAGTCAATTTTTTTTGGAAATAAAGATTATCATCAATACTTAAGTAGTGTTCTTATTAGAGAGCAAATATGATTTTTTGTGGAAATTAATGTTTTCCACAAGATTGGGGTTTCTCTAGTATTTCTTGGAAGATTATGTTCGAATGTTAGCAGAAATTAAACTGTAGACTATGGAGGATGTTAACAAATAAGTGCCTCTATATCTTTTAAACTGATAGAATTTCTGAATGTGGAGGAGTTAAACCTGGATATATTTACCACAGTGAACAGTATTTCTTTTGCTTTGACAAAGGTTGTTTATAAACTGAAGGCATTTGTTTAAAAATTTTGCTGAAGGATGGTAAGTGTGGTTTTTGGACTTTTAGGCTGGGCAAGTCATAATATTATGCTAGCCACCCTGATGCTGTTAGTCTTTTAACTTTAATTTGATATATAACTTGCCTTTGTAGCGAAAATACTCGCGCGACTAGAATTTTTTTCTGTGGGCACCTCGTTTTCCTTTACGGAGATCTTAACTAGGGTATGGTTTGGGGTCTAGAATTTGTGTGGGGGTTATGTTTTATTTTTATTCATCTCTTAAAAAATGCCCTTTGAGTAATTTGAACCTCAAAAAATGCAAATTGAGCAGCTGTTTGGTTGCTGGGAACATCTCTCAGAGTGAGCTGTGTACCCTTCCAACGGTCTGGTCTGAAACAGAGTACAGTAAAACCCCGTGTATAAGAACCTAAAATTTAAGAACCTGCTAGGCTAACATTTTCATTTTAAACCCCCTTTTCATAGAACCTATTTTGCCTAAAATTTCCAATAGATTCTTAGTTTACAAAAATGAAGACACAGATGACAAATGATACAGAAAAAACATTTTAGTCTAGGTTTTAGTCAGTAAGATTCAAATACGTGAACTAAAAATAATGAAAACCATATCATGCCTTTGCTAACAGAGCATTTTATGGACACTGCACTGTAGCACGAAAGACACGCATGCTAGTTCTTTGGAAAGATAGACTTCCTGTATGGTTATCACCTAAACTGTATTCTAGGTGATTATTTAATACAGAGATATATTCCATATTACATTAGCCCTGTAGTACTTATCTGTGTTGGTTCTAGTGCCCCTATCAAATTAAGAACCTAAGTAGCCTAAAATCCCACTAAATACCATTTCTATAAGAACCTATTTAGGCTAAGATGGAAAAGTCTAGGTTCTTGTATGTGGGTTTTTACTGTATCAAAGTAAATTGAGAGGTCAGGTCTAAAGCAGGGTATTACAAATTACACATTTTGATCTAGAGTAAGTGTTTCAAGGAGTGTGATATGTACAAGCCCACCCAAATTGTCTGGGAGTAACCCCTGAGTTGGACACCAGACTGCAGAGCAGTAAGTGGCACTGGGGATGATGCCGACAGAAAATGGCCTTCAACCTTGATCCCAGGGTTCTCTCCTCCTCGTCCTCAAGGGCTAGAGAGAGAAAGACAGTCCCTGCTTGGGTCTGATTGGCTCCAGAACAAAATCAATCCAAATGAAGGAGTCCCTTTTTTTTGCTTTTTTAAAATTTTTTTTTTCTTATCAGGACCATTGATCCAAGCTTCTGCTTCCACTGTTCTTGCCAGGGCAAGCTAGATTTGCTAACCCCATAACAAGTTCTGTTCAGTTCAGTTCAGTTTATTGTTTGCCATAATGATGTATAAAAAAATATAAATATTTAAAAAGCTAATGGCAAGGAAGCCCAAGGGAAGCCACCCGGCTTATAAGAGTGGGTTCTCTCAGTTAAATTTTTACAACAAAATATCAGCAGAATTTTACACTACAACTAAAACCATGAAAAAACAAGGAGAGATTTGAACAGAACTGTCACAAGAAAAACAAGTGAGCTCCAGGGAACAAGTTGGAAAGAACCCTGGGAATGAGGTTGTATGGCCTTAGTAACTTACTTAGATCTGAGTCTCGGGGGGTGGGCGGGGGGTGGGGGAGGCACTCCCTTTAATGGCCTATACGGAGAGGCTCCACCCAAAAGGGGTACACTTTTCAGGCTTCAGGTATATGAAAAGGTAGGGATTAGCACATAGAAGGGAAGGGAACTCTGTCACTTCATTCTGTAAAAAGGCCCAAGAGGGCTAATAATGCACTTCTTGGCTGTGAAAAAGTTGAAGAAACGCTCTGGTTTTTTGATTAATTCATATCTTAAAGACAGTGCATTTATGCAAAATTCTCAACTAGGTATGTCAAAGGAGTGCCATTTTTCAGTACAAGGTATATGAAAGGGGTTCCTTTTCTGTATAAAATGGTAAAAAAAAGGGGGACCTTTAAGTTTGTTTTAAGATTCATCTGTTTAAAGTTTGTGTTTTGGCCGCTGCGTCATAGGCTTGTAAGGGTCTGTATTCTTTATTTTCAAATCCCCAATATGCCCTCTGGGACCATGCTCTGCTGTGGAGAAAATGTCAGACAACCGCTCAGTTCGTCTGACTCGCCGAGGTTTTGGGGGGGCCTTTTTCCCCAAATTTGCATAAGCTGTTGGGTTCAAATCGTGAGTACTGCACATTTCCAAGCGCATTTGAAAACAATAACTGAGGAAAATGAAGTGCGTTATGGGGGATTTGAAGACAGTCAGTCAGGGCCAATTTTAACGCAACCACATAAGTGAATAAATCATTATATATACGAAGGCTGCTAAAATTTGGCCTGATCCCAGATTAACACAGACTTAAGAGTTCCAGCCAGTACCCTAAACAACAGTACAACAAGCAGTGACAAGACAGTATCACTGTAAATAGCGCTTGCATTTTAATGTTCACACTGTAGGATTTTGTGCACATATTGAATTTAGGGACAAGACATCAGGTTTGTATCTTATAAGGTTAGAGATAACACTGAGATTTATAATTTCAATTTCATTTATTACTATCGTTATATTAATAGATTTCAGGTGGGACTATTTAAATACAAAAATACAATAAAATGTCGCATGAATTAAAATAGTTAACCAAAATTAAGCGCTGGTAATACACAAATGGTATATTTCTTCCACCTTACTTTGTGGATTCTTAAATCGAGAAACGAACACCACATGCGTATTTTGTTTTCAGTTGCACAGCAATCTGGGAATTTTCTTTACAAACGTATTTTGCAGTTACAAGTAATAGATCATGAATTTAATAAGTATATTAACCTACAGAAAAGCAATACATGACTGTACAGTCTTCAAGCCTAAGCTAACTTAGGAGCTGTTTGCATCGAGGGAATTATCCCAGCACTGGGAAGATCCAAGAAAACGCAACCACCTTTGTATCTTTTTTCTACCAACTTTTCCTTTTTTGCACACATTTCTGGCGAACTTCAAGACCGTATTTTTCTGCCAGATTCTCTCCATGTAGTTTTTTGTCCCTAGTACACTCCTACACTCCCCTTGTCGCAAGGGGGAGCATGCTACATCTCCCTCGCGCGTTTGCCTCGCTCGCTCGCATGTTCACCGCGCGACAACCCTGAGGGAATGGCAAGAGCAGTCTGTTCGTTTCTCTCGGCTGGACAGGCTAGGAAGAACCTAGGGCTAGTTAGAGGTTTTTTAATTTTAAGCCCAAATATAACCCCTTTGTATCTTAACTAAAAACACACATGGTACGAGGATGATACGTCTTCTCGCAGTTTCTCTCTCCACACATTTGGCCCCTTAATATTTCTTTAACACAACAAAACAACAAATTTCAGTCTTTTTAGATATTAGTGAGAAATCCACCTTTTCAACTATAGTTTACATTTAACGAGCCGGCAATGACTTTCACTGTCACAAAGAAGGAATTTGTCACTTGGATAATCGGATTTTACAGTGGAGAGTCATCCAAACTGTTCAACTCTCTAAAGCGTACTTTCTACATTTAGTTCCTAAGCTGCTACACAACGAATGTGAAATGATATCATATTTATGGACTCGGCTCGTCTTACAAGGACGTTTGTCAAGAAATACTTCTTTCACTCTGAAGAATGCAAAAGATCCGAAAACTGGACAACAACAACAAACAAAGAAACGACTATTTTTTAGTGAATGATGAGCAAATAGTCATCAAGTGAATGTACTGCCAAAGGAGTTTACATTTGATCTGAAACACGACAGGGGTTTGTCCACTCAGATAATCAAAAGTTTACAGAACTACAAAGAATATCTTCTTAACTAAGGAAGTGAAAAATTAAGGATGGAAAAAAGTCTTGCATTGTACTATAATCCGCCTAAAATTCTCAACCGAAACTAATAATTTTCAGGGACAAACAAATTACAAAGCCGTTACGATTTGACGTCTAAAATTAACAATAAACACGGCTTTTTCCGTCCACGGGGAATTTTTAGTATCACATGTTCGTGTAATTTAAACGAGAGCATTGAAATGAACAAGCTCGAGACAAAGATACTCGTCCTTTCAAAGATTCAGTCTGAACGGCATCTTTGTGATATGACGAGTATTCTGTCGATATATTAAATTCACTAATTCATTCATGCAATGGTTTCGTTCTGTAGTCTAAGGAATTACCTTCTACAGTGACCTTTGAATAGCCCTGTTCCCTTAAAAGAGACTACTAAAAATAATGGCTTGTGTTATTTGTTACAAATTTACCAATGGCTATACAATTGCTTCTTAAAGAAGTTACTATTATATTGTTCGTTATACATGTGGTAAATCGGATAATTGCTAATCTTTTTTTTATTACAAAAAGATAATCAACGAACTTACGAACCTTTGGCGGGTGTGTAAATTCTTATTATCAAAATATTATTTTATATGTGTGGTTTGTTCGAAGCTGGCTTAAAAATATAATTTTCCACGCACTGCGCAAGGCGGGACTGTTCACACCGCTGAGCGTTTCCTCAGGTTTAGACATCTTTAACGTTTGTTTCATTTATTATTTTTCAGTAATTTACGATTAATAATGTCCAAAATTGGCACCACAACGGCATAAAATTATTGTAGGCTCCGTTTCTGTCGCTCTCTCAAGTTAGATCTTTGTCCTTTAAAATTATGATGTTTAAGAATCTTATCAACGACCATGAAGGGGAAAAAGTCAATTCAAGGATTATTTATAAATCTGATAAAATGTACGTTTTCAAATGCCACTGTTTACGGCCACTTAATCCAAAAAGTAAGGAAAATTAAAAGAATAACCGGCTGTATACGGGAAATCTTCAGAAGCGTTTAAGAAAACTTTTTGTGTTTTATCAAACCTAAAACTACTGTACGGGGCTATTCACTGATATTTATAACAATAATTTTCATGTACTATTTGCAATTTTCGTCTATATATAACCCAACCTTTTTTTTTCTGAACAAAGAGCTACAGGGTATCACATGACAGCACTTTTGTCTTTATTCTAACTACATGAACGAGTCGGATGCTTCTGATGAGGCTTGACTGTAATAGCTTGCTCTCCGTAGTTTCACAATTTGATTGATGTAGGCTTTCATCAGCTTGGCAATCTCAATGACCTATAAATCACAGAGCAAAAACGTCAGTCAACAGAGTCACGTTCACTGAATTGCACAACGTGACTGGTCAGCTGCAAAAAAGATCGTTCTCACATGACATCACGGCGACCATTTTGTGCAAAAGACACAATGACACGGCGGCCATATTTGTGTACCGAAAAAATCCTGACGGAATTGTTCTCGTGTAAAAACGTTCTTATTCCCCCAAAGAATTTGCACAGCTGCTGGCCACGTGAGGGAAAAGGATGTATTCCTATTCATTGTAATTGGCTAAAAAATCACGGGCAACCTTTTTCAACCAATCAGAAGAAAACTAAAATACATCGCTACCATATGATAACTTATGACAGCTACAATCGATCTCTAGGTTCGATAAAAATGGTTCAGCGGTCGCACCACTAATGCTTTGATTTTCGCGGCTTCGGCCGACACAAAAACCGAAATACCCCGCGGGGAAAGCCTCCGATATCCAGGGTATTAAAATGGAAAAAACTCTTCAACGAACGGAGCGACCGTTGCAACGAAGAAGCTAAGATAGACTTCTGCAGTATTTTAAGCCTGGTTTCCAAATGATCAGTACAATAGCCTGTGCCAGGCTCTCAGGTAGTATAGAACGGACGTATTAAAACGAGCTCAGCGAAAATAAGACGCGCACGCCTTGGGAAGGGGGGCGGTGGCGAAGGGAAAAATGGGAGAAAGAGCCTCTTTAACGATCCTCTTGCGCCCATTTTTGTCACGTCTGGATTCGGCTGTCAAAACTGTTAACACTTCAGCTAGCTCCATCATTCTCAAGTTTCTCGTGCGAGCATTTCACACTCCTTGTCCGAATGTGTGGAAATTTATGTCTTCAAATTCGTTATCCTGTGAGATCGTCCGTTTTTTTCGGCTCTAGTTCTAGTTTCACCAGCCGAAGCGACAACCGGAAATACGTCTGCTGTTCGCAGGCTACGAATTCACCACCCTGTCTCTCCCCAGCCACCGCGCGTTTTTCGCATTTTTTTAACACCTCTTTACTGAACGACTTTTTACCACTATCTTGGAGCCTGAAACAGGCTATCACTACAACAGCTCAGATCGCTGGACTTTCTTCAGCGATCGCAGAGAGATCTAATGAAAACCAGGCTTAACCCACTTGTCACTGAAGCACTGAATGGTAACCACATGCAACAAGCTTTGCGACTCTGTGAAATGTAAAGGGATTTGCAGAATACAACGAATATAATTAAGCTGCATCACCTGGGAAGTCTCAAATAGCATTGGATCTCTACCATCCACAATGATTTTGTACACATTAGCAGCGGGAGCTCCAAACGATAAAATACTGTAACGGGAAAAAAAAAAGTATTAGGACTTTTAGGTGAGAGTTTGAAGTGATGTTCTGTTTTGGAAGATGTGTCCTAAAATCTAAAAGACTATAGTAATGTGAAGACGTTTCGGTCTACAGACAAAAGAGAAAGAAATCTTACAACTCTATCACATACAGAGGCCACATCAATAAAACATCCAGGGTTTTTCAATTTGAAGATCTCAATATATTTCAATTTACCTTTATGTTGAAAGTTGTAAAATCAACTCTCTTAACAAGTTTAAGGGTTGTACATGGGCTAATTAAACCTTCATTAAAAGGACACCTCAAAGAAACAGAAACCTAGAGCTGGTCCCTGCTGTGTTGTTACGTTTCCAACGGGGCCTGTCTGAATCTTCAATTCCATTTGACGCTACGATCACTGAAACTAGTTCAGGGATCACACCAATCATCTGAAATGCAGTCGAACCTCCAAAACGGCCACCTCTCTACAATGGCCATTTTTCTTTTGGGCGGACAGTTCGTACATTCTCTATTGTTCAAACCCTCTCTACAACGGCCATCTCTCTACCATGGCCACTTTCTTCTGTCCTCAAGGTGGCCGTTGTGGAGAGGTTCAACTGTAACTCTTTAACGTTGTCACAATATTACGTACTCTGAGCAAAAATCGGTATCAACATAATCGTAACGTCTTCATTAGTGGAGTGTTCCATTTAGCCATCCGTCAGGTGATTTTCTAAAATCACGTTACCATTCAACGAGGCCAAATATTGGGATAGCTGGACGTTTTTCATAGCGGCCGCGGCGTTTATATGTAGACCACGCCTTGAAAGACCGAGTTGGCTTAGGTAAAGTTAATAACTTACTTTTCGTAACTGAACTGACACTGTGGTCTGACGTCTCCTCGCTTGTACAAGGCCACACCCTTGAAACTCACACCGAGCCAAAGGTCAGGATTAAGATTGAGATCTTTTGTCTGAAAAAGAGATGACGGCGATAATAATGTTGATAAGGAGGAGGAGGAGGAGGAGGAGGAGGAAGAGGAGAGGAGGAAGAGGGGGAGGAGGGGGGGGGATAGGGTGAGCAGGAGGGTGCCACAAAAACATCCTGTTGTGTTTACAGTTCAACCGATTACAATTTTTTAGGGTCGATCTGGCAGACCTTCCCCGAGTCGAAATACAGAATTATCACTCTCCATGTTCCTGTGTACTAAACGTTGACTTACAGGAAGCATTTTAGAAGGGGCTTAATCAGCCTTTTGAAACCATTCCCTACCACGTTACCATGGCCATGACAGCTTCTTCAAATATTTATACGAACCACAATTTAGGGTTCTCTAACAGGTACTATTTGTTACCTCTACATCAAAAAGAGTTGACCCATATCCCGGCCAGCTTCTCAATATTTCCATGTACTGCTTCTGAGCTTGCTCTTGGTCCATACCCTGAGAAACGAAACAGTCGACTTACTGTCTTAGAACACTGACTTCTATAAAACTCTACGCTGCTAAATTACCCGCAACTGTCTGGATGAAATAAGCCCGCGCTCGAAGAAAAACCATAACAGTGAACAATAAAAGAAACAAATGCACTACTTTTGCGAATTATTCGCTAAGAAACGAAACGTTTATTGCAAGGAAGGAGTTTCTTTACGAACAAAATCACAGACTTACGACAGACAAAACAATTTAATTCGCAGGTACCAATTTACAAGAATAAACTTTGGGAAACTAATAGGCTGAACACACTGAAATCAATTTTAAATTACTTAATCTTAATTTGCTCTATTAAAAAATAAAATGTTCCTAGGATGATGTAAGCGATTTTCTTCACTCAATTTGTGGCATTTCCTAGTGGCTGAACTCGGCTGAATTCTGAAATACAGCTGGATTTTTCTTAAGTGAACAGGCCCCTCGCGGCTCGCGGTTACGCATCTCGTGAAAAAATTTTAGGATAAAACCAAGAGAGAAATACCTGAGATTGACAGATCATTATACAACTGATGCGTTTGATAATTTTTCGGCTTTAAACTTTTAACACTGCGATTTTAATGTGGTTTGCCTTCCAGAGAAAAATGCTATATCTAGCAGCAGGAATTTTTTCATACAAACCTCGGAAAATTTTGAAGACGCTTCAACACCAATAAAATCTTAGTCTTTAGTATTACTCACCTCAAAATTGGCCTTCGAACTACTATTCTAATACTCATGGTATTGTCTAATACAGAAGTTACTGTCATAATATCATGCTATTCCTACCCCGATTCTTTTCCACTGTTCGCATATGGAACTCTTGATGAAGGACAGTTCTTCTTCAGTAGCTTTCTTAGTATTCTCGGTTTCATTTTCTGTTCCTCCTGCTAAATAACAAATGAACAGAAGGCGTTTAAGGGGGACACTTTAGGGGGAGAATAAATAAATTACTTTTGACAGAGGGAGTAGGGGTGCATACTAGTGAACACTGTTGAAATTTGTTCTACATTAGTACTTTAGCTACTTATTACGTGATTGTGGAAGAGGGGAGACTGTGGACCCTCTAAACCTCACCCATTAGCAGCCAATGCGCTTTGAAATTGAACGCTGCTGATACACAAACCAACTTCGATAGAGCCTACAGTTGAGTGAGCTGATAAAGACATTACAAAACAGATGGCTTAAGTCAATAGCAACTCTATTGTCAGGCGAGAATCCATTGCGAAAAAAAGCCCGAAAGTACAATAACTGCATTTAACCAATGACTTATTTCATCTCAAGAGAGAATGAGCTTGTCAATGTTGAATGGTTGTCACTCTAGATAATCAATAACAATAGAAAAATACTAGGATTGGAATGCGCATGTCATTTGAGAGCACTTACCGGATCTAAATGGAGACACTGCCTTCCTTATTGTGCCCTATGAGAATAAAATTCAACAGCTCGTCACAAAAAAAAAATGCATCACAGAAGCATTTTCAAGTAGTATCCTTTTTCCATAATAAATTCTATAACACAACTAACACCTCAAATTAAGGTGCGTAAGCAACCATAATCGCGCCGGCGAGCCTCAGAGATGATGTTACACGAGACGATTCGCAACAACGATTTTTAGCGCAACACTGTAATGTTGCGAAATTGTTTCGAATGTTTGCAACATTGTGCCATCATTGCAATACTGTGTTGAGCTTAAAATCGTCGTTGCGAAACGTCCCGTGTAACATAACCTATCCCATAACCCCCAAAATATAATAGAGAGATAAACAGTCACGTTTACGGCAACCGGCAAACGTGAATTTTTGCTACGTGACCAAGTTTTCCTTTTACTTGTCTTTAACTGTTCTTCTCCTCTACAAAAAATCAGCAGTTTCACGTTATTTTCATCCATAAGAACTGTTTCTGACTGTTTTCATCTTCTCATTTTCTATTTGGAGAAATTCTCAACTTGAGTCTACCTTTGCCGAATGCCGTAAACGTGGCCCTTATGCTACGTGCAAACAGACGTAAAATCGTTGTCCAACTATTTATTTTATTTTTTATTTTTATTTTATTATTTTGCCACACACAATGAGTTACAAGCAGAATAAAAACGATAATAAATAGGTTAACTAACATTAAATTTAAAATTTGTGCATTACTTGGGAGAAGTGACTGTGGCGGGGAAATCTCCGAGAAGCCGAGCTTATGAGGAATAGAGATTTCCTCCCACGGGCAATTTAAATACTAGGCGGCGTTTTAAGAAATAAAGAAAAAAGTCGTTTATTTAAGTATATAAGTGAACTATTCCCAACATTGCTGGAAGTTGCGTCCGTTTGCACACCCTGTTACATGTTGGTGCGTGTTATTAGGAGTTGTTGCGCAAAGGATATTTGAAATCGGTCAAACTTTAAGCTACGTGCAAATGGAAGCAGCAACTTCCAGTAATGTTGGGAGTTGTTGGCCAACAACGTTGCATGCGTCCGTTTGCACGGGGCTTTAATCTCGCTAATTTTGGTGACTTCATCACTTCTCCTCTCTATGGTCGTTGTAAAGAGGTACGACTGTAAATATGTAACTGTTTGCTCAAAAATCAAACGGCTGAGGAAATAAGCAAACATAATCTGTTCTAAACAGGTACGATCTTCACAAACCCATATCACCTAATAAAAAAAAGAAAACTTGAAAAAAGAAAAAAATGCGAAGATTTGCCGCGTGAATTCGTGCGTATTTTCTTTTAAGTCATATCACTTTGATCGAATTTGTAGACGGATAACTTAGCTGATGTTAATGTCCTAAATATACCTTGAGGCTGAAGGTGCGGTCCCTTCCTATAGAGTTGTTTTCTTTCTTCACTTTCTGCTTTAGTTTTCCAGGAGGATAGACGGAGTCTAGATCAGACCTACAAAAAAGCAGCAGCATTTCAAATATAGCTGGGTTGTAACCCCTTATCCATGAACTTTGCTCCTTACCTTAACGGAATGGAGGCGAGTTGGGATGACTGTGCGCCAAAGTATTTAAACACTCATGTAAACCCTGAGTGAAAATTTTGCAGTTCGGGGTTATTTTCGCATACGCTTCATACAAAGGACTTTATGCCTTTCATGAATCATTGACAAGCGCGCGACGAAGCCGCGACTCACCAAGGAGCTTTGTCAAACCGTGGAAGCGATTTATATTTCGTCCTAGATATTATAAAAACCGTCTCTGGAAGTAGCGTTATTTCGCCCCGACAATTGCACATTGGCATATCGCTGAATCTGATAGTAGCAAATGAAGTCCACTTTCGTCATGCATAATTCTGATCAATTTGCTTCATTTTCGTGTCTTGAGAAGAACTAGTTTGAGCAGAGCACAAATGAATTCTGATTGGTTAACAAATTGGCGAGACGTAATTTAAACCAATCAGAAACCACAGCATTTGAAGACTGAGGTAACTGCCAAACTCCTTTTCCAATAGACTGGGACTGAGTTGAACTCTAATAAAGATTTTCATACTTACACCCAGGCCCCCGGTTTGTAGTCTCCTTCATTAAACTGAAGTCGGAGTGCAGCCAGTAAGTAGAGTGTGGTATCCGGAGCAGGGTATTTACCAAGAATAATGGAATCACAAGCCTAATAAGAAACAAATGCACAAGCATTGAACCTTTAGGCCGCAATATCCACGTACAAATTCTCAAGACCGATTTCCATATATTTCCTTAAACCTTCTCCTCCTCCTCAGGTGCTTCGTTTTCCGTTTTTCTCACAGAGGCACGCGCAAAACGCAAAGGACTATGGGAAGGAGAAAGACGAGAGGCGAAGCGACGTCTCGCCCGTTTTCTCCTCCCCACCCCACCTCCTTCTTTTGCGCGCAAATTTTCATCAAGAGAGCTATGATTCT